TTTGACTGGGATCAATTTAATTGGGTTGGTTTGACTGGGATTAATTTAATTGGGTTAGTTTGACTGGGATCAATTTAATTGGGTTGGTTTGACTGGGTCGGATTAGATACCAGTCATCGAACAAAGATACCGTTGCTAGGCCGTCTTTGGTTAGAAATGGTATAAGTGGAAAATCCACCATATTTCTGTAAACAAATGCACAGTGAGTCCGAGTTTTCTGACGAGTGCCTCGGTAGTCTTTTGAGTTCCATTCTGGTCAAGAAGTGTGTATTATCTAACAGCATATTTAGGCTGTTAAATCTATATGCAGACTTGCCAGAGTGTAAGAAAAGACTTATCACCCTAACCACTTTAACATTTTGTTTAAAAAAATTTTCGTTTATGTTTGGTTTTACCATTAATTCCTTTCCATTTCGGAGTTTTCACATTTGAATTATATGAGAAGCAATTGATAGCAATTAAATGCAGTCGGCATCGATGTGTTAAAAATACCTTCTTCGCTATAGGAGAATAGCGGTGTTTGGAGTGATTGGCCAATCACTCCAAAGAAATCAGAGTTCGAATCCTGCTCAGGCGGTAGTATCGTTTCAAATTAACTTTTAGCTCATTCATGAGTTCCCATAAGCTTGATATAAATTACTCGTTCACAAGTATGTAGCCAAACGAAGGAGACAGACCTTTATATACCACTCTATAAAGGGAAGGAAATCCAGACTAGCAGCCTTAATACAATGATTAAGTAAGTCAACTATGCTGGTCACTTAGTCCATTAAGCAAAATATCATTTGCAATTCTCTAAGATAAACGAGTTCTCTAAAGTGCCGCATGAACGCACTCATATTGTGGCTTGTTCATGACTTACAATGCGTCTTGTGTCTGCCACTCATATCCTTGTAGTAGTGCCGCATGAACGCACTCATATAGTGGCTTGTTCATGACTTACAATGCGTCTTGTGTCTGCCACTCATATCCTTGTAGTAGTGCCGCATGAACGCACTCATATTGTGGCTTGTTCATGACTTACAATGCGTCTTGTGTCTGCCACTCATATCCTTGTAGTAGTGCCGCATGAACGCACTCATATTGTGGCTTGTTCATGACTTACAATGCGTCTTGTGTCTGCCACTCATATCCTTGTAATAGGATAAAGTATTTTCATACGTTGAAAGTAATTCCGAGGTAAAGCTAATAATATGAATAAATTGCTTGAGATTTTTTTTTAACAGACTAGAGTCCATACGCCACACGTAGATACCACCTCAGCATCTATAGATACCACCTCAGCATCTATAGATACCACCTGACTTTGGCAGCAGCCTAAGTCAGTTATACATTTATAGGTTGGATGTATGTTATTAATACAGGTATAACGCATGCATACATTAACACTCGCATATTGACTGTCATTGTGTAGCACCAGAGCGAGGTAGGTACTGGCAGAGTACCACATGTGTTGCAGAGTCCCACAGGTGTGGCAGAGTCCCACATGTGTGGAGGAGTTTTATAATGAGAGCATTAGCATCTCGGTGTGATATTCATCTTCTAAATTAGGTGTACAAGTCTCTCTCACCCGCCTTCTTGTAGTGATCTTATTAATCCACCATTTATTACCAAACTCAAGTGTTCATTTTCAATTAAATTTTATTTTCATTTAAATTCATTTTGTTTACTTTTTTTATAGTAGTTTTTATAATTGGTTAATTAGAACTATATTTTAATATTTGAAAAAGACCACACAGCAGCATGTTACACCTCAATAAATCACCGTTGTAATTGCATGAAATTTTATTTAAATGACACCTCTTCCCCACCGTTCCATATATATATGGTACAAATGTGTACAATGATCATTTCTGGACTTTACATCAGAGACAAATTGCAACACATTGCCATTTTCTTCCCCCAACTAATCCTGCTTATGAGAATTAGTCATTAGAATGGATAATAAAGAATTTCACGCTATTATGAAGTATATTTGTTATATATTATAGCTTTATATAATTTACATTTTAAACAATAATGAACTGTACAAATTCAACGATGATTTTCCAGCAGAAATCAATTTGAAATATTAACATAATATTTTTGTTTTCGACTTAAAACTCGTTTCCCCCCCCCCCCTAAAAATAATTATATATAGGCATATACACATACATACAAATCACTGACAATCATACACCGTAGAAGAAATTATAGAAAGCAAAAGCTATACAGTAACACAAAAGTTCCTTAAACACACTATTGTACTTTAACAGCACAAAAAGGTACAAATATTTAGCGAAACGGCTGCGTAATAAATATGGTCCCACATTGAGCATTTATATAAAATACAAATTGCAGAAACGTTATCATGAATTCCATCTTGAGGCGCCTGATGCGTGCACTTGCTCAGCTGTGTTACTTGGGCTTGAGTTTTAGCTCTTGGGCCCCTGACTTTGAACTTTCATTTCATTTGTATCATTAATCCCAAACCCCTCAGGTTCGAACCCACCTTCCACACAACATATGGAGCATGCTTAAGCCTCAACACAATTTAAACACTGGCTTTGAATGTGGCTACAGCGCTACTAACGTTGCAGCAATGTTAGAAAAACGTTGCAGAATGTTTGAGAATCGTAGCAAGATTTACCAAACGTTGCAGCAACGCTGAAAAAGTTGTAAGGGTGTGTTTTGTTTGACATCCATTGCTTTCACTTCTCTATTGGTTCAGGTCCCTCAACACACTGATTGTGAAGAAGTATCGATGTTCTCGACCAGCTATAATAAATGTTCTCGACTAAAATATTACATTCATCTCCTTTGCTCTGGTTTGTGCTGATATTTCTCAGGCTCCTCTGACCTGCTAGCATCCATGTGAATCACCTACTTGTAGCTCAGTTTATAAGCATTTATTTATGTGTATGTATTAAAAATATGGTTTATTTACATGCACGTACACACACTATATATGCATCTCATTTTTATTTATATTCATTGATAAAATTACGAATTTATTCATATTGTTCAATTTGATTATTTTCATGATTCGGATAGTCATTATTTATACAGAAGCATTAAATTTAAAAAAAGATTTTTTATTTATTAAATATTCAATATTTAATTTATTTTACTTGCCATTAATGAATTCTTATCATTGTATTGCTCAATAATTGTCAATCCTTCAAATTTTGTTGAAAACAAGGAATATAAAATACAAAACAGCTGAATACAAAAACACACTTACAGGTTTCTTCATAATAAATCCCATTATATATATTGAGAAAGTTGAGATACAGGTTAGAAATTATGTAAAAATGTGTAGATAAACAGATAACCCAAAACCGAGCCGCACAAAAAATATTTGATAGAATTAAATGAAAAAAAACTGCTTAGCAGTAGTTATAAATAGGTTTTAAAGCCTAAAAATAATTGAAATTATATATGGGCAAAATAAATAGTGCAGTTAGGTTCAACACACTGTTATAAGCGCCTATAATTTTAGAAGAAACTGAACTAATTAAATGAAATGTTGAAATATTATTTTAACAATTGACAATCAGAGCAGACACAGGAAAATATTATTTAAGACAGAGTGCTGGCCAACTGGAACATACTAATTTCTATCCTGGAAATACGAAGTAAGGAAAAAATTACCAAAAGGAAATCAGATTTAAAAAGGCATGGGAAATGTATGAGAATTATGCCGTGGTACCAGACTTTCATAGAACTGAGTTTGATATATTATGGAGTGTCTTGTGGAGGGTAGATAGGGCCGACCTTACCTTGGATGTGACGGGTCTCCTCCGGTGACTGATTTACCCCCTGGGTTATGATGTAAATGCAAATTATGCCAGATATAAACTTGGGAAACTCTACACAAACGAATTAATTATGTTAAAGTTTATCTTGATAACCAATTTATCAAACTAGCAAGAAGTTAAAGAAACAAGAAAAGCTAAAATGCATTATAAAGTGTATATAGCAGGGCACGAATATATAAATCTTAAAGGATTCTTTTAGATTTTACCAGGATTAAGGAGCCAATTTAACCAGGATTAAATTAAAGCCAAACTGCTACCGAGCAATGCGACAAGAAAGAATGACTAAAGAATGGATGGCATTCAATTACGTGTTTACAAGACAACAGATTTGTGCGCCATATACGGCTGAACAAATCATTGGTGGTGGTAATGTGGACAAGTTAACTTGCTTAATTGTTGACAGGTTATAAGTTATTAACAAATATTAAAATTAAATTAAAGCCAAACAAGTCCCAAAAGATAAAACAAAGAATATGCCAGGGAGTACACTAAGTTAAGTTAAAATTTAGCGAGCCTTTATTTTGCACATTTAATGCAGTCGAATCTACCAGAGTACTAGAATCATAGAGGGTTACTAATGTGCTGATTTTTAAAAATGGAATAAATTACTTGCGTCGAATAACCTGGAATTGAGCATAACATTCATAATAGGAAAATTGCTTGAATCAGAGATTGATTGGGTAAATTCATTTTTATCTTTAAGTCTTTAATTATTTTTTTTACAAGTGTTTTATTAACGGCTGCTCATGACTAACAAACTTGCACTATTTTCCAACATTTTGACAAATAAATTGATAGCTCCGAGCCGGTGGCTGAGCGGATAGAACACTGGACGCGTGATCCTGTGGTCCCGGGTTCGATCTCGGGCGTCGGCGAGAAACAATGGGCAGAGTTTCTTTCACCCTGATGCCCCTGTTACCTAGCAGTAAATAGGTACCTGGGAGTTAGTCAGCTGTCACGGGCTGCTTCCTGGGGGGTGGAGGCCTGGTCGAGGACCGGGGCCGCGGGGACACTAAGCCCCGAAATCATCTCAAGATAACCTCCCATCATATAATTTGACTTTAGCAAAAACTCTGTTAATGCCAATTTAAAGACTGATTAGAAAGTTTGAAGCACATGGTATCGGTGGTATATACCAAATGGGAATAAAGCATGTTATTCCAATGCCAACAAAGGGTTAGAATAAATGAAACCAGTGTGTTATGAGTGCCCCAGGACTGTATCCTGTGACCTCTGTTGTTAATGATAAATAAAGGGATTAAATACAGGACTGAACAATGACATTTGCAAACTTTCATATTATACTTATAGTAATAGTTACCAGAAATCAGTTGGACAATGTTGAAACTGCTACAAAACGTTTGAAGATTCCACTTTTTCACGATATTAGTATACAAAATCAATGCATAAATGTACTAAGTCATTTGAATTACTAGGATTCATGTCTAGAAAAGGTAGCAATAGGACACTGTGTTGTTATTTAGCTTGTTCTTGCCCTAATAATGCCACATTCAGAATATCCAGTTCCGTTTTTGTCATACCATAAAATGATCATAATTTACCTGAACGTCACAATGAGGAATAACAGGTAATCCAAGGAACTAGAAACCTCCTACATGAAGAGATTAAGAAAGATTGATTTACTTTCTCTATAAAGGTGAAGAACAGGGTCTTTTGATTGACGAGGATGTTAAGATGTTAAATAAAACATACAATAGAACACGAAATAATAAATACAAATTTATGTTTTATTACAGAAAAATCATGGGTAAAGAATATTTTTGCAAATAGTGTTGTTACTTTACGAAATATCAGTTGATGAATTGCGTTGATAGGGTTGTAAAGGAAGACTCTACACCCACCATTAATTTGTAACTATGCACTAATCTATTATACACGCTAACTCCTTTACTGACGCTACACACAACTCTACAACCACTAGGTAACACCATACACTACTTATCGCTTATTCACTAGCCTTACATCACTCTATACATTACCTCGAGTCAACTACATTGACTATTATTGATACACATTTCACCGACATCCAAGTCTACCTCATTTCCTGTACTCTCACAAACTGCCTAGAACTCCTCCCTCACCACCTCTATTCACAAACTCACACAACTCTCCCCATCTCTCCCTCTACCCCTTCCTCCATCTCTCTCTCCTTTTCTCCCTTGCTCTACACTCAGAAAACCCAATCAAAACAAACCCACATACAAAAATCCACTGAATCACCGAACCCGGTCACACCCCCCCCCCATCCATGCAATCAACTATCACTAAAATTTTCAAAGTCATCCCTTTCTGAGCAAGGCAAAAACTATATCGGCAATTTTTCAAACGTCTTTAATTCCGGTCCCTCGTCTTGGCGTGCCGGTCTCTCTCTTCCTCCACTTTCTTCACTAAATTAAGAAAAAGAGGTGGAGGCAGCCAGCAGGGATGGGCGGTGGTTCTGGTGAAGATGTTTCGTCTCACACACTTACATGAATCTCCTAACATTCGTTCGTGTGTTGATAAAGTTCACTTTGCATCAATCTGAAAAGCCAGTCACGTTATCTGCAGATGTACACACATCACAAATACATGTTTAAACACGCGCACATGCCAATCATATATACATGTGTACATATAAACACACACAATAACCAGGCCACAATGTGACTACTGCTAATATGTTGTACAGACATCGATCAATGCATCACAAAGATTAATCTGTGGTCATCAACGATGATAATTTCTAGCTTCATCTCTGATCAATACAGCAATTTAATTGATCGATATCTTATCCTCATATACGCTTCCTAGATAATTGTACTTCGTGATCTTCGATTAACATTGTAATATCGCTCGGTGATGTAACCTAAATTGTCTGCAATTCGTCCCGAGAAATTCCTTCCTGATGAAAGATCAATGAACAGTCTGAAGAAGGTTCTTGGGGGATGAAGGTGTCGACCCAAGGTCGCAAGGTCAAGAAATCGTTGTGTATCAGTCCAAGGTCAAGAGGCTGTGGGATAAGAAGTTTCTTGAGGACACGGCAAGCCTTTAGTCGCACGATTATAAATTTCACACACCAGGCAGATGAAAGATCACACGTTTCTAAGTCAGAGTGACAGATACACCAAGTTAGAAACCACTGAATATTGAAGTTACAGGTACACAATGTTGGACGTTATGGGATGGGCTAGCACCAATGTTGTCTTAGTCACAGGGACCGCAAAGTCAAGGGGCGGCCCAGACCACACGGTGGACTAAAGCATAGGCTAGGCCAAGATATAGCGTAGGTCTAATTATAATTCGGAGACGTCCTGGAGAGAGGCACATGGGATGACTTAGGTGCTTGGTCCACCATCTCCAGCACGGGCTGTAGCTGCTCCTCATTGGCAGCTGTGATCACACGAAGAAATGGGGTTAGTGACGCGTCAACTCTGAATAATGTTAAATGTTTCCACAATGTTAAATAACACACACAAACTAATCATTAAAATTAACAGACAAAAATTCCAGTACAAAAGGATAGAAGTAATTGACTATGAATATCAACATTGATATTTACTAAATTGTCAATACGAGAACAGGGAAGATATGCAAAATTACAAACCATATATAGAAGTAGAAATTGGGATTGCAAAACCACTGGTGACAATTATAGTAATATTAGTTTAAAAAAAAAAATACAATATGGCATCTTTAAAACACAAGACAGGAACAAAAATTATGAAAATAAAATATTAAATGTTAAAAAAATTGCATTAATTATATTGAGTTTTTCTTGCAATAGTTTCCTAAAGGAGGGCACAGCCTGTCCAAGTGAGGGCAAAACAACTTACAATTGACTTACGTCAAGTCTCTGCACATAGGCATGAAACCGAGTCGTGACTACATACATACATTTCTCTCTCTCACTCACTCACTCACACACACACACACACACACACACACACACACACACACACACACACACACACACACACACACACACACAGCAGAGCTACATCAGACCAGGGCCCTGGAGACTAACTGACCTGCATAAGGAAGAAGCATGTTAGCGAGGCTGGATACAGGTAGCTCCACCAAGCAGGTCAACAGCACGCCGACCACACCAGCGATGAAGATCACGCCCAAGCTCTCAAACAGCTGAGAGTGGAAGGTAAACAGCTGTTACTGTATTCAAGTTCTTACTATTTAACATGCAATATCTAATTTTATTTTAGCCTAACCAGGGTAGTTCAAACCTGGGCCACCCTATGTAATGGGGGTCGAGGTCCGACTCTCAGGTAGTCTGGAAGATGTCAATATTAGAGCTTCTAATTTCACTAAAGCATAAGGATTTCCACGCATGGTTTTATCATCATCAAAATTGCTGTGCGATAAATGTAATTAGAGGTTATATTGTGCGCGAGCGTAAGGGTTAGCGCGTTCAAGAATTATTTTTAAGATCTTAGTGATTTACAGCTAAGTTGTGATGTTATTCTTCTATTAACACAAGTTCTTGTTCACTGTATTTTTCCTGATCTGATGCACTATTGAACTATGATTTGCCTCTTCCCACTGCAATTTAATTTTTACAATTTTATGTTCTTGGCACTTTTTCTTAATATCTAAAAAAAAATGGAAAAGTAATGCGTAACCTTTATTCATTAAAAGTGAAACTAAATAATACAAAATCTGGTAAAGATTCATTAAAGTTTTCTGTTTGTGGACTGAAAATAGGATTTGAGATAAGCTCCTCCTTTTTTCTCATGTCAGAAAATAAACTGAGACAAGCGGAATTGCATTATCTCCCCCATCCTAAAGTTAAAAATAAAAGATAAATTAAAAATTTTCCCTATAATCATCCCAACTCATTCCCTCATAACCCCAACTCATCCATCCCCCTTCCCTCCACCTCCCCTTCCATCCAGCCTACCACCCTCACCTTGGAAAGGTAGTCAAAGTGGGTAGGAAGGTAGAGGAAGGTGGACCACCAGAGCTGGACCACGGGGGCCACCAGGTACATGGTGAAGGTCAGGCGGGCCAGGGGCCGCCATCCGGGGTACGACAGGACGTGGTTCACTAGACCTGTGAGGTAGAGACGTAAACATTACTGCAGCGGACCGCATATAAACCACTGGATATATATTTGCAATTATATTAAGCGAAGAGGAGAATATGGATGAGGGAAATATAATAGGAAAAGAAAGATGCAGGGGGGCAAAAATAGAGGCTGGAAAGAAGAGAGGGATAACAAGGTGGTGGGAAAGGGAAGAGGGGAGAAATAAGAGGGAAAACAAAGACGGGGGGAGGTAAGTAGAGATGAATGAGGTAGCATTCGAGGAAAGAAGTGGGGGGACGAGCAAGAGTCTTGGGGAAAGAAAAGGGCTTAAGGAAGAGAAAGGTTTGTAGCAGAAAGAAGGGGCGCGGAGAGAGAGACGCTAAAGAAAAAGGCGAGATATCTAGAGACATCATCTGGGAACTCGGGCTGAAAGAATCCAAAGTAGGGTGCTCGAACCAGTATACCTCTAATTGAATTGCTCTCCCACCCACCAGCACCACCCTCCCACCCATCTGCCCCACTCTACACTCACCTGCATTGCCCGTGTGGCAGGATATTACTACCCAGGCGAGGCACATGCCCCACACAGGCCTCGCCAGGGCACCGTAGATGGCGGACATGGCTGGGTAGTCCTTCCAGTTCTTGTCAGGGAGGACATGATTGTACGGGTAGAGTCCTAGGACCAGTACCAGTCCTAGCGCTATGGCAGCCACGTATCCTAGCACCACAACTACCTGTTGGAACGTCAGGAGAGAGAGAGACAAATGCTAAAACACTTTTTACTAAAGCCACGGTGAGATTGGGGTCATTTGGGGCACAGAATGATTGGGATAATTGGGGCATGGAAGTAATTAAGATATACACCGCTTCACTTCACGTGGACATGAATTTAGATGGGAGGCATCGGAGAGACTGGAACTGAGGTGTCAATGGATGAAGTCAGGAGCAACGGAGGGTTGATGATTGACTAAGGACTGGGAGATGTGGATCTTAAGAACATGGAGGGATCAGGATCCCAGGGACTCCGCAGGCTTATGGCATTGATGACATGATGGATTGAATGATGGGATAACAGCGATCGAAGATGCTGTGGTCACTGATGACATTAAGATAAGAACGTTTAACTGATATGGTTAGATGGGAGATGCTGGAAAGAGCTGAATATGTTCTGAAGAGTTACGTTTAATATCGGGATACAGGATACCGAATGACTGGGTGTTCTGGATAACGAATGGTTCAGGTGCTCGATAACAAATGGTTGGATACAAAATAACTAGTGGTTGGGATTGTAAATAATGAATGGGTGGGATGCTTATTTACAATGATTAACACGATTGTAATTGAGCAGCAGAGACTAAGAATGACTGGGTTTCTGGGGCAATGCAAGAAATGCAATATCGAATACTTTCATGGATGATTAGTTGTGGAATTATGATGTCAATGCTTCAAGGTGTCTAGATGAATTGTGATGATGAGAGATTGATCACAAATTCTAGCTTAGGACTTGGTTAATCATCCATATAATAGAGGGTCGACGAAGACATGGGAACTAACTTAAACGTTAAGACTGGAATGCTAATTGAATTGAAAAACTAGCGTGTAGTTTAACTACATTGAGAGGCTTGAGTCAAGCAGAGGTCCAACTTAAATGGTGAAATACAAGTAACAGCGTCTATTTATCTATTTCCTGGTGTATGGGCCAGGAGTGTCATTTTTCAGCTCCGTTATTTTGACTTCTTGTCTACACAAAGTAACTTGTATATTAAATTATTATGGCTTATCTAGCACTACCAACCTGTCAGCGGGTCGTTCTTTCCATTTTGTTGCACAAATTACTAACCTGTCATCAAACTTTGTTTCGTTTCTTACAACAAAATGCTAAAGCGCCAATTAACCAATGTGTACAGTTTTCCTAACAAACCAAACGTTTGTTAACAACCCACATTGTCCTTTTCTGCTCTCTCGTTTATCCCGCTATGTTTATTACATTATCACTTGTATTTCTCTCACCACGTTTCTTTCTATAAATCTTCCTTCACTTGACACTTCCTACCTCCTACTTTTCTAAATGCACCGTTTGTCTAGTCCTCCTTTCATCCGTCTTGATCCCGGTTGTCTGTGTCTGTCTTCCCGACTCACTGACTGACTGACTCGTCTCACCTTGGGTATATTTATCCTGGTGGCATTTGGACGGCGGAGGAAGAAGGCCGTCCAGACGCCCACGAGCCAGGGGCCAGCCCGACACCACGGCACCAGGTACACCCGCCACATGTACTCGAAGTGTGTAGTTATCCTGTAAAGGGAGTGGCAACCTCAATGGTCAGATGGCATGATTAGAAGAGGAACCGTAAAAGGCGGAAATATCGCACTTGTGTTATGAATACAACAATAGCAATGCGAGCTTGAGGAGAACTAGCAAGGCCTCTTGAGTGCTTCAGTGTCTTCTCTATAGTATAGATCCAAAATCTATACTACAGGAGTGTGTTTATGTCTGCCAGTGTGGCCGTAGTTCGAGGCCAGACGGGGCTCAACCCACATTTGCAAGGGAATAGTCTGAGCTACGGGACGGAGGTAGGCTGATAGGAGTAGGGCTTAAATTAAATACATTGAGCAATATTGATTCGGTGGGTGGTGGTGCATGGCCGTTCTTAGTTGGTGAAGCGATTTGTCTGGTTAATTCCGATAACGAACGAGACACTGGCTTATTAACTAGTCGACGGATCTCCAGCAATTGGTGTCCAGTTCGCAACTACTTCTTAGAGGGATTAGCGGCAATTCTAGCCGCACGAGATTGAGCAATATTAATACTATTGTCCCCTCCCCCCCGTTATATATTAATAAATTCAACAATTAAATCAGTGATATGATTTCCGCAGAGTTTGCCACCGGGGATATGCTACTCATCGCATGTGGTCATACAAGAAAACAAACTGGCTCAAGTAGGGACTTTTAGCCTTCCTGTCATTTTTAGTAGAAATTCGATTGGATGACTTAAGTCTCAGTGGTCTAGTGGTAGAGTACACGACTGGCAATGCCGGGGTTGCAGGTTCGCGCCCACCTCATAGTCCTAATGGGGGTTTTCTCATTGATAGATATCACGTTAATGTGATTCGAGTGTGTTAATGATTTTATTGTTACAGTCATGACAACATTGAGTTGGGGAGACTGTTAGTGATGAAAACAGCTCGGGAAAATATTCCTGAGAGTAAAAGAAAGAGAAAAGAGAGAAGAGAGAGAGAGAAGAGAGCGAGCGTCTGATACCTAGTATACAAATACTAATAGGTAGAGACAATTGCCTCCTTTCCTCGTAAAATATTGATTACTTAGCTACCGGACAGAGGGATAGCGAGGACTGGCACTCACAGAGAGGGCTGAATTGGGACTGGAGGCAGGTTGTAGACAATGGTGAGGATGAGCGGCACCAGCACGGACCCCACTGTCGCCACCGTCAGACTCATCAGACCTGCAACAGAAGCGGCCAAGAGGGATGATTGTGGAAGGTAGAGGTATAAGAGGGGGGGTGAGATACCTAGGGTGGAGAGAGAGATAGATGGGGGAGGAAGAGAGAGAAGTCACAGGAGGGGAAGAGAGAGATACGGGGAGAAGGGAGGGACAGAGATAGGGAAAGGAGAGAGAGGGGGGAGAAAGGCGAGAGAATGTGAGAGTTAGAGGGGGAAGAAAGAGAGGGGGAAGATAGTCAGGGGGAAGAGATGGTTAGGGGGAAGAGATGGTTAGGGGGAAGAGATGGTTAGGGGGAAGAGATGGTTAGGGGAGGGGAAGAGGCGTCGGGAAGATAAATAGTTAAGGGGAAGAGAGAGAGAGAGAGAGAGAGAGAGAGAGAGAGAGAGAGAGAGAGAGAGAGAGAGAGAGATAGGAAGGAAGATTAGGGGAGGAGACAGATAGGGTGAAAGGGATAGGTAGCGTGAAAGCATATGGATAGTGGGAAAGAAGAACGGGAAAAATGTAGTAGGAAAGAGCGGGTAGACAAGAAGTAGGAAGCAAAGAAGACAAAATGGAAGCAGGATGTGGACAGGAATGATGATGAAGGGAGAATTGGACAAGGAAGTGAAGACGATAGGGCAAGTGGAATAGGATAATCGCTCGGAAATTATAAATTTCCTGCCATTATAATCGTAGTCCAACTTCCAGCACGACTATCATACGCTTCTTTAAAGCACTTGATCATCAAGCGTTAATTTCACGTTCGCTAAGACATACTAAGTCAACATTCACATTATTGGAGCAACAGTGAAAGATAAAAGAAAAAAGGAGGAAAGAAATCTGTTGATTAATTGAGAGATGAGAGGCGGACCGAAAGAGCCGGAGCACAATCCTCGCAGCAAGCACAACTAGGTGAACACACACACACACACAGGAGACTGACCTGGGAGCCCAAAGTAGACGACAGGTAGAAGCATTAAGGGAAGGATGAGCAGCAGCTGCATGTCCACGGCCGTGTACCAGCAGTTGTCCAAGCACTGAAACACCAGAAGCAGCCCCAGGGCACCATATTAGTTCTTGCTACGAAGGTTGCTTCTCCTGTTGCTCCACGCATTACTGCAACTGATGCTGCAGCTATCATGCTGCACCACCTGTTCCTGCATCTTGCCACACCACGTGTTGCTGCAGGTGATGCTACACCTGTTGCAACACATGTTGCTTCACATGTTTAACCTTTGCTACTGGTTGTTACTAATGTTAATTCCGCTTCTCATCCCCCTTCCACCTCTCACTCTACATTCATTTCTCGCGTCGTCCTCTTTGCATTTTCATGCACCATTTTCCCCGTTCCTTTGACTCCCTTTCCTAGTTCATCCGTCTCATTTTTTTCTTTTGCTCTCTACATTTCATCATTTATGACTCATTTCATTCCAATTTTTTTTTTATCATCATCATTCCAATTTTTCTCTCTTCTTCTGCGCCATTTATTCTCGTCTCTTTCCTCTCACTCAAGCGTTATTTCACGTTTACTCTTTTCAGTCCAGGTTCCCTTCCTCATCTTCAAACACCCTTCCCCCTCATCTCCCTTATTCTTTCTACCCCTAGCTCCCTTATTTCACTACATACTCACATTCCTAAACCTCATCCTCCCCATTCTAGTCTTTCCCCTGCTTCCCCAGGTACGTTCCATCCTCCCTATCCCTCACCACCCCCTCCCCCATCCCTCACCACCCCCCTCCCCCATCCCTCACCACCCCCCTCCCCCCATCCCTCACCACCCCCCTCCCCCATCCCTCACCACCCCCCTCCCCCATCCCTCACCCCCCTCCCCTTCACCTACATCATTGACGGTCAAGCCGTGGTTCTCGCCGGTGATGAAGTTGTTGAAGAAGAGCGGGTCCTTCCACCAGTGGGTGGCGCAGTCCCCCCTGCTGAAGGCGTCCAGGAGGTGCTTGCGCGGCCCGCGGCCCAGGAAGCGCAGCAGCGAAGCGCAGAACAGCGCCACACACAGGATGGTCGGCGCCAGCCTGCGGGCACGGACACCAGTGACTGTGGGGTGGGGGAGTGGGGGGGGATGGGAGAGAGGAGGAAAAGGGATAGACGGGGAGAGGAGGGAAATAGGGAGAGGGGGGGAAATAGGGAGAGTGGGGGGGAGAGGGGGATAGAGAAGGAGATATAGGGAGGGAGATATGGAGAGGGGAAAGGAGAGAAGGATGGAGACGTAGGGAGGGACTTGATATCAACTCGTTCTCTTAATTAATGAAGTGTTTTTTTTTTAAATTAGGGGACCTATCGTTACAAATGCAACCTATTAAAAAATAACATTTTTATTTAGATTATATTTTTTACGCCGTGGCAAATTTAGAGAACGGGCTTTTGAGAGAGAGAGAGAGAGAGAGAGAGAGAGAGAGAGAGAGAGAGAGAGAGAGAGAGAGAGAACGGGCAGCAGAGAGGGCAGCAGGAAAAGGGGGTTTCTGAGAGGATACAAACAAACGAATGAAATGGTTGCAAACTTGCAGTTCATATCAAAGGGAAATTCATTTAATATATTAGTAATTTCCTAAGCTCATAAACAACTATAATTAACGGTTGTAATACCACAGAATCATCTAACCTTTGAGTTACATTTACAATCTCAACTCCAGAAGAGAAAGCTAAACCTTCAAGGGTCAAGACCCTGTGGCTATAAAATATTCTTCTCAAAATTGCACTCGGTTGTCTTCCTGGTCGATTGAGCTCACAAAAAATTCTATCATAAAATGGTCGGGTTGTAGAGGTTGTTTGGGAAGAGAGAGAGAGAGAGAGAGAGAGAGAGAGAGAGAGAGAGAGAGAGAGAGAGAGAGAGAGAGAGAGAGAGAGAGAGAGAGAGAGAGAGAGAGAGAGAGAGATCTGGGAAAGTGAAATTGAATTTTGACGAGAAAATTTCCATTCCATACGCATACATTCTTACTCTCACAGACACCCTTAGTGCCACACGCAGCCAGGAGCCGAAATGCACCACCTGCAAGCCGCGCGCACACACGCTTCTCTCCTCCCTCCCCCCCCCCCACACACGCAAAAGGCATGCAATCTATAAATAAACTGATTCAACTCAACGAAACGCACTACATAACCCCACACACTTTAGTCCATCCTCTTCACACAAGCACCTACCACGCACCACCTCCATACAAAATCGTCCACAACCACCACCACTCACATAGAAGCATCACCAACACAAGAATCCAGTACCCCCTCTTAACACATACAAACATTCACCTCTCCCACCACAAACTCAAGCATCTACATCCCCCCACTCAAATATACATCCTACATTCTCGGAAGCATCCACCCTACCCCATCCACACACACACACCCACGCATCCCATTCCCATACACAAACATTCACCACCCTCCACATACAAACATCCACGATCATCACCCCCACACAGACATCTACCAACCGCACCCACACACACAAAAGCACCCACCACCCCACCACACACAAAATCATTCACTACACCCCGTGCTCACACTCAACCATCCAACACCACCCTCTGAACAACAGACACCAATCCTTGCACTCACGACCGACCAGGCTCATCTCTCCCGTGATTGGGTGGACTTGGGCTGGACAATATCAGCCTCGCCCATAACATACTCTCCTAAACCAGCCTTCTGTAACCCTGCTATTGTACCGCCTCACGGCGATGTCTTCCCTTGGTAAGGCATCTCACAGACGACTTAATTATTCCTCCTGAAGAAAATGAGTATGAAATTGGTGGCCTTGTTGGGATAATGAGTGGAATCTAACGAAATATAGTGGCATGGTGAACTGAACGAACCCAGCTGGACCAAATTGGTATGTCATGCAACGAAGGGTTTCCATGCCAGTTCATCTATTTAATGCAGATATTCCGGTGGCTGTGGGGAAGGGACGCTGACGTGGCTAAGTGCATTGTCGATCTGTCGACCTTTGTGTGTGTGTGTGTGTGTGTGTGTGTGTGTGTGTGTGTGTGTGTGTGTGTGTGTGTGTGTGGTTCGTACGTTTGACTGACCCATCAAGTGTTGGATAAGCATTTCTCAAACACATCATCTTAATTTAATACAAATTAGTAATAGTCAAATTTCTGCATTTATAACTTGAGTTATTTCTAACTTCACATCCAATTCCAGACTTAGCTAGAGGAATAAGTGTTTTGAGATATCCATAACTAGCTTAAACAAACATTTTAAATAAAAAATATAAAAAAATCAAGTCAATACGATGCATTATCATGTGCATCGCTGGACAACGAAGCGGCATATTCTTTGTACACCACCTACGTGAGACCAGTACTAAAATATGCATTTCTCCAGTATGGAATCCTCTCCTACTAACGGACAAATTAAAACAACAGTAAATACAGTTGTTTCTGACATGAAATAAAAAAAATTACAATGATATATAAAATTATTTGAAGCACTGAGCATGGTGGACAGAACAGAAATATTTAGCATGGGAGGGAAGCAAGAATATACTTCGATTTAAGAGTTCAAAACAAAATGGAGTCTGTGGAAAACCCAGTTAGTTTATACCAAGTTCATGGATACTGTCAAGGATAATTACAAGATTATATAATAAATTTATTTGGCGACCAGCAAATTAAATTCTGGGTTCAAGAGCTAAAATGACCTTGGTAGGTCGTGTAGACGAGTCTCCACCCCTGTGTATCTCTTTCTCAACGTATCTTAACCCCCCTCCCTTCCCCCCCCCCCCAGCCCCCACTTGCACCATTACCCCCCCCTCCCCTCCTACACTCCTTTACTACGCCTCACATGCCGTTGTTGTCAGGATTAGGAGAATGGGGGGGGGGGGGAAGAGACACATGTGGGAGGATAAGAGACACACATACGAGAGGATGAGAGAGACTCACTGTAAGGCCCAAGGTACCAGTGTTCGCTACTTAGCCAAGCTCCGCTGACACATCCTTAAGACGACCGGAATAACTCAAGACGTTCAGGTATCTGAAGAATCACTCATCTTCCGCCAGCTTTCTCAGTTTGTCACTACGAACGAAATGCAACTGGATTCCCTAACCACGAGTCTATCGAGGCCGTTGCATAGAAAACGTTGATTATATTAAAACGTTGCATTTTATATATTTCTTGCATATTGGATTGACTCTGTAGTAAGATTCAACTTAGTATATATGAGGACCAGCTGTACATCTCTCTACATTACAATATGTATGATGGAGGGGAGCCAGAGAGCCAGAGACACAGAGCCGGAGACACAGAGCCGGAGACACAGAGCCGGAGACACAGAGCCGGAGACACAGAGCCGGAGACACAGAGCCGGAGACACAGAGCCGGAGACACAGAGCCAGAGACACAGAGCCAGAGACACAGAGCCGGAGACACAGAGCCGGAGACACAGAGCCGGAGACACAGAGCCAGAGACACAGAGCCGGAGACACAGAGCCGGAGACACAGAGCCGGAGACACAGAGCCGGAGACACAGAGCCGGAGACACAGAGCCGGAGACACAGAGCCGGAGACACAGAGCCGGAGACACAGAGCCGGAGACACAGAGCCGGAGACACAGAGCCGGAGACACAGAGCCGGAGACACAGAGCCGGAGACACAGAGCCGGAGACACAGAGCCGGAGACACAGAGCCGGAGACTAAGAGCCGGAGACTAAGAGCCGGAGACTAAGAGCCGGAGACTAAGAGCCGGAGACTAAGAGCCGGAGACTAAGAGCCGGAGACTAAGAGCCGGAGACTAAGAGCCGGAGACTAAGAGCCGGAGACTAAGAGCCGGAGACTAAGAGCCGGAGACTAAGAGACAGAGACTAAGAGACAGAGACTAAGAGACAGAGACTAAGAGACAGAGACTAAGAGACAGAGACTAAGAGACAGAGACTAAGAGACAGAGACCAAGAGACAGAGCCGGAGACTAAGAGACAGAGCCGGAGACTAAGAGACAGAGCCGGAGACTAAGAGACAGAGCCGGAGACTAAGAGACAGAGCCGGAGACTAAGAGACAGAGCCGGAGACTAAGAGACAGAGCCGGAGACTAAGAGACAGAGCCGGAGACTAAGAGACAGAGCCGGAGACTAAGAGACAGAGCCGGAGACTAAGAGACAGAGCCGGAGACTAAGAGACAGAGCCGGAGACAGACTAAGAGAGACAGAGACTAAGAGAGAGCCAGAGACAGAGACTAAGACGGAGCCAGAGACAGAGACTAAGACGGAGCCAGAGCCAGAGACAGAAAGACAGAGCCAGAGACAGAAAGACAGAGCCAGAGACAGAAAGACAGAGCCAGAGACAGAAAGACAGAGCCAGAGACAGAAAGACAGAGCCAGAGACAGAAAGACAGAGCCAGAGACAGAAAGACAGAGCCAGAGACAGAAAGACAGAGCCAGAGACAGAAAGACAGAGCCAGAGACAGAAAGACAGAGCCAGAGACAGAACCAGAGACAGAAAGATAGAACCAGAGACAGAAAGACAGAACCAGAGACAGAACACAGAACCAGAGACACAGAGCCAAGAGATACAGAGAATCAAATATTATTTTCTCCACCATCCACATCAGTTTTTAATTATTTTTGTTTCCGGCCGCGACCACTGGCGTCAGGGGGGCCAAAAGTGCCCCACAAAGGTTTTATTAGAGCGACGTTCCTGCCCCTTGATTGGTCGATTGAGGCAGGTCGCTCAGGGCTTCGTGCGCAGCGCTTCCAGCGCCGTTATTAATACGCTTTTCGGGTTGTTTTGTTCAGTGTACCTGTCCCACTTCGCGCCCCATTCCCTTCCCTGTCTCCACATCACACTGTCTACCTCACTCTGTCCCACCTTTCCCTAAACTGGCATCCTCTTCCGCTCCCTCACACTTTCCCTCTCTCTACACTTACTCTCCTCAGGAAGTCCTCTCTGTGGACTTCCTGCCCGTCCCTCTCTCCCACCATCCCTTTTCCTTCTCTTATTTTAGTCTCTCCTCCTCCCCTCCCCCTCTCTTATTTATTCCCGGGCCCCCCTCCTCCTTCCTGACCCAACCACTTTGAGTGAACGGTAGAGCGACAGTATCGCTTCATGCAGGTCGCCGTTCAATCCCCGACCGTCCAAGTAGCTGGGCACCATTCCCTCCCACCGTCCCATCCCAAACCCGTTTCCTGACCTCTTCCCAGCGCTATATAGTCGTAATGGCTTGGTGCTTTCCCCTGACAGTTGCCTTCTTTCTGCATTCCTCTCCGTCCGTCCCTCCTTCCATTCCTTCTCTCTCGCTTTCTTTCTCCAGTCTCCTTCCCTCGTTCCCATTCTCCTTCACCCCTATCTTACAGCATTCCCACTTCTCCATCTTTTCTCTTCTCTCGCGCCCGCCTTCCCTCTTCGATCTCCTCTTATTCCATATTCACCTATTCACCTTTCCTTCCCCCCCACCCCGTTTTCCCTCTTCCATCTCCCCCATCCTATTCCACATTGACCTATTCACCTCTCCTTCCCCCCGTCTCTCCCTTGTATTAAGAAATGTCAGACAAGGTTAATTACTGCCTCGACGACCTGAAAAGAAACTATGAAACAAAAGTTGTAGGAATGTCACACCATCGTTAGGTCAAAAAAGAATTCCTGCAGTGAATTATGAGGACTTGTCACATATTATGATTTCGCGTGAGTATCTCTCCCCTGTGCGAGGATGTGCTGCTTGCGAGGACGTACTTGTGTACTGCAGGAGAACCCGACTACTAGTTCTTTCCCTTCACCTTCGTCGACGACCTGCAGGCCTGCCTGGCTATAGTCCCTCTCACCCGACTGTTGTTGTTTTAGATTCAGCTACTCTGAACCAAAGTTACAAAGTAGCACGGGCTATGGTGAGCCCGTAGTGGACTTACCTGGCACACGAGCGGGGCTGTAACTTGCCCCCCTTCCCTTCCTCACCCGAGGGACTGACTGGCTAGTCCTTCGCGTTTAGAACTTAACTCAGATTCTGCTTAAAAAATACAGACTTTTTCTTTACAGATGAACGACGTCTTTTCTCCAAGTCCCCGTTTTTATCTTGTATGAGGAACGTCTAGAAAATTGTCTTAACTCTATTGTAAGAGAGGGGAGTGTCTCACCTAGGGTACCTCTTAAGTGACCGGCGCACTCTCACTTGCAGACGTTCCTCATGAAGGCTCTTAAGAGACTGGAGTGAATATCTCACCTGAAGAACCTCCTGAAGAAGGTCTTGATAAAGATGGAGAGGTGAGCGCGTGGGCGGCGGTCAGCGAGGAGAGGCAGAAGGCGGTAACTCAGTACCAATCCGGTCATGAAGAGGAACGTGTCGACCGACAGCCATCCATTGGTGACCACCTCGGTCAGCACCGGGTCTTGATACTGTTGGCAGAGTGTGAGTGTTGAGGGGCTAACTGCTGGCGGTGACTAGAAAAATTAGATACATCATTTTCACACACAAGATACATCATTTTCTTGAGAATTTTTGTTTTCATTCCTGAATTAGGTGGTCCTCAGTAATCCTTCTGATTTCCATTTTTTATATATACAGTATTTTGTTTTGGCTTTGAGTTTTTACAACTCTGTTACAGACTGAAGGTTGTGGTGTTTGTGGTTATGTGACAGGTTTCTGGTTGTTTTAACAGTAGGTTAGGGGTCGGTCAAGGTACTCTTGGCATAACCAGGGGAATGGTTGAAGGTCTAGAATTGATGGTAGAGGATTAGGCAATATTTTAACCAATTTCTTACAAAACGACAAATATCCTTTTTTTTTTACTCAATACAATTTTACTACAAAAGTAAGCATATATAAAATTATCACAATACATGAATGTTCCGGAATTACTTCAATAATAAGTTTTAAATGTGTATAAAAATCTTCAAATAACGGCTTAGGAAAGCAAAAATGTTCAAAATTCAAGCGAGAAGACTAATGTTAGCCGCGAAATGGAATACTTTATTCCGTTTAGTATAATGTCATTCAAAAAGCACTTAAAAAGCCTTTCATTTTTACTGAACTTTCTGTTTGAGCTCACTCGCCGTTCTAGAGCATTTCACTTTATTCTTTCCAGTCTTTTCAACTGAATACAATATTCTGGCCAAAAATCAGTGTCGAATCCTTAAAGTCACTACTGTCAAGTATGAGAGAGTTCCTACCAGCAAATCTCCAGCTGGTGACACTCAAAAGACACACACTCGGGATCGTCGTCAGCTGATTCCAAAGTTTATTCTCAAACACTAATTGTTAGTAAAGAGAGCTACGCCTCCCTCAGCCTAAACCATGGTACCCATTGACAGCTGACTGCAGCGTTCCCGATAATTATGGAATGTAAAAAGTAAAAAAAAAACGTAAACCATGCCTAATTTGACTCCGCGAGCGATACCAGCTAGGCGAAGAATATACATATCTCACACACACACACACACACACACACACACACACACACACACACACACACACGAAAAAAAATCGATACATTTCGAAATGGAATACAGTTGTTAGCAGTTTTAGTTGAAACCCATTATGTATCAAAATTCAAACAATTTATGTATTATATACAGCTATATACTGTTCCTAAGAATAATTAAGTGAACTTACTTTGAGAGAGTCCAAAGTGTTGACGATGAAATCGTAATTAGTTTCATACTGGTGACAGATGATGATCCACGTCATCGTCACAACCCTGTAATATATATTCATACATACATACATACGTATACATATCTTAGTAGAGAAAAAACGTGTAGACGAAAACAGAGCACGAATGCACACACATTTAGCCTACCCCCCCTCTCCAACGCCACCCACACGCTCAAAAGAAAAACGAAAAAGAAATGAAAAGCATATGAAGAATTCATGGCTTAAAAGGGCATGTATAGAGGCAAAGGAAAGGAACAAAAGAGCGTACATGAACTTCAGAAATAACAGAACAGCAGGAAGCCGAGATACAAGAGAGCCAGGAATGAGTATGTCAATGTGAGAAGAGAAGCAGAGAGACAGTATCAAAATGATCTAGAAAATAAAGCCAAGACGAACCAAAACTGCTCCACCGTCACATCAGGAGGAAAACAACAGTGAAAGAACAGGCGATGAAACTTAAACCGGGCGAGGACAGGTACACAGAATGACAAAGTATGTGAAGAACTCAATAAAAGATTCCAGGAGGTCTTCACAACAGAACGAGATTACGTCCTTGAGTTAGGAGACGTGGCAGTAAACAAGAAGGCCATGGAAGGGTTCGAAATTACCAGATATGAGGTAAAGAGGCATCTGGTGGATCTGGAAGTGAGAAAGGCTATTGTTCAGGACGGAATCTCACCATAGGTACTGAAAGAGTGCGCAGAAGTACTTTGCTTGACACTCTCCATGGTGTATAGTAGGTCACTGGAGACGGGAGACTTGCCAGATATATGGAAACCGGCTAATGTAGTCCCAATATACAAAAAGGGTGATAGGCAAGAGGCACTGAACTACAAGTCAGTGTCATTAATGTGTATACCATGCAAGGTAATGGAGAAGATCGTGAAAAAGACCCTAGTAGCACATCTGGAGAGACGGGACTTTGTGACAACACCAACATGGGTTCAGGGATGGTAAATCTTGCTTTACAGGCTTAAAAGAAATCGACGATCAGGTAATATAGATTAAGCAAGAAAGAGAAGGTTGGGCAGACTGCATCTTCTTGGACTGTCGGAAAGCCTTTGACACAGTACCCGATAAGGGGCTGGTGCTTAAGTTTGAGAACAGGCATGAGTAACTGGCAGGGTGTTCCAGTGGATAAGGGCATACTTAAGCAATAGGAAGCAGAGAGTTACTGTGAGGCTTGTGACGTCAGACTGGCGTGAAGTCACAAGCGGAGTCCCACAGGGTTCTGTACTCTGACCTACCCTGTTTCTGATATCGTAAATGATGCTCCAGAGGGTATAGGCGCATTCCTCTCAATATTTGCTGATGACAAAATTATGAATAGGATTAAGAGAGGAGGAGGACAGCATGAAGAAAACCTGAACAAACTGAAGGATTGGTCCAACAAATGGTTGTTAGGAGTTTAACTCTAGCAAATGTAATCTAATTAAGATAGGTGTAGTGAGCAGGAGACCAGATACAAGGAATCATTTCGGAGATGAAATTCTTCTATAATGAGTGAGAGTGAGAGAATCTGGGGGTTGATATCACGCCAGACTTGTCCCCCGAAACCCACATCAAGAGGATAACCGCCGCGGCATATGTAATGATGGCTAACATAAGAACGGCCTGTAGAAACTTGTGTAAGGAATCATTCAGAACCTCGAATACCACATATGTCAAACCAATCCTGGAGTATGCAGTGCCAGCACGGAGTCCCTATCTCATCAAGCATGAAACTAAATTGGAGAAGGCTCACATGTTTGCCACCAGACAACAGCCCGAACTGAGGGGCATGAACTATGTGTAGTGACTACGGGAGTTAAACCTCACGTCACTGGGAGACAAGAGAGTTTAGGGGGAACATGATCACCAAATAAAAGATTCTCAAAGGAATTGATAGGGTTGACAAAAACCGTTTATTTAACACAAGGGGCACACGCACTAGGGGACACAGGTGGAAATTGAGTGCCCAAACAAGCCATAAAGACAATAGAAATAAAAAAATATAGTCAGTGGTTAATAAATGGAATGCATTAGAAATTGATGTAGTGGAGGCAGACTCCATACACAGTTTTAAGTGTAGATATGAGAGAGCCAAATAGGCTTAGGAACCTGTACACCAGTTGATTGAGAGCTGAGAGGCGGGGCCAGAGAGCCGAAGCTTAACTCCCCCGCAAACACAACTAGGTAATTACAACTAGGCGAGTACACAAACACACACACACACAATTCATCGTACTTCTTGTTTACACACTTCCACACATCCCCATAGTCGTTTGGTATACAGCTCTCCACGTCTCATTTCTCATCTGATTTGAAATGAATTTTCCGATTCATGTCCTGCCGCTGACATAGTTGCTCAAGCTACCCAGCTGTAAACGCAAATTGTTATTACGGGTTAGTCGTGATGATAAAGCCAAGGAAGCGAGAGAAGGGAAAGGTTTAGCCTAAAAGATCTCTCAAAACAAATTTAAAACAGCTTTGTCAAAACTAATTGAAAATGGAGGTAGTATTATGATATTCGTGTTGAAAGCCATGTCAAGTTAAGATGCCTGTCTCCGTCTTATACGCAAGGTGATAGGGTTGTTGGCCAGTTCACGAACGAGCAATATTGACATCACTAACGATTATGTAGTAAAGTCCAAAGAGTATGCAAGTTTGACATGTTTTAATTTATGGGTATAATCTCCAACGCCTCTGCAAAAACAATTTACCCCAAATACGCAAGAAACTCTACGGGTATGTTGTGCCACATTTTACTACCTCGCCCTCAACAGTGAGAAGGCTGTAAATGGCAAGATCATGTTAAATTGATCTCTCATATTTTGGTCAGCTATGTCGTCTATTCTTTGCGGCTGTCAATTTGAATCATCCAATGGAGTTCATTATCCTCAGCCAAGATGAATTGGACCGAGTTGAAGCTCAAGTTGAAATAGGATAGACAGACTAGGACATGTCTGCTTTGTCACAAGGGTTTTTCACTAAATTGATGATTCCTAAATTTTACGGTAGACTGTTGTGTGATGCGGTCAATATGGAGGAAATATGTTGGCCTAGTCATGAGTTTGATGGTGGATATTGGATTATAACATTAAGTGTAAGATCAGGAATTAGCTGAATTATTCGTGGGTGTGCATGTGCATGCGTGTCTGCGTGTGTAAATACTTATTTCTGCCTGCAGGATCGAGCATTGTCTCTTGGATTCCGCCTCTCGAACCATCGGTTGTTTACAGCAATGACTCCGGTCCCATTTCCCTGCCACACCTAGTTTTCAAATTATGAATAGAATTTGCTTCCCGAACCTGCTCCTTAAGTGCATTCCATTTTTCCACTACTCTCACACTAAAGGAAAACTTCCTAACATCTGACTCATCTGAGTTTCCAGCTTCCACACATTTTCCCTCGTTCTGTTACTATTCCCTGCGAACATTTCGTCTATTTCCACTCTGTCAATCCCCCTAAGAATTTTATACGTTCCTATCAAATCCCCCTTCTCTTTTTTTTCTAGTGTCGTAAGGCTCGGTTCCTTCAGGCGCTCTTCATACCCTATCCCTCGTATCGCTGGGACGAGTCTCGTTGCAAACTTCTGTACCTTTTCCAGTTTCATTCTGTGCTTCTTCAGATGGGGACTCCATGATGAGGCGGCATACTCTAAGACACATAGACAGTGTAAAACGCCCTAAATGCCTCCTTACTTAGGTCTCTGAATGATGTTCTAACTTTTGCTCGTGTAGAGAATTCTGTTTTCGTTATCCTATTTACATGTGCCTCAGAAGTTAGAATAGGTGTTACGTCCACGCCCAGGTCTCTTTCTCGAGTCGTCACAGGTAGGCAGATCCCATTCATTGTGTACTGTCCATTTGGTCTCCTGTTACCTAATCCCATTACCATAACTTTACATTTGCTCGTGTTGAACCCCAGTAGCCAATTCTCTGACCATCACTGCAACCTGTTCAAGTCCTCTTGGAGGATCCTACAATCCTCATCTGTCACAAGGTGTGTGTGTGTGTGTGTGTGTGTGTGTATTTGTAGCGATCTAACAATGAATACAAAGGGACTTAGTGAGATTTATAATAGAGCGAGTGTGTTAATTAGGAACCTGCGCCATATGAAAATTAGGCCCTGTTACGTTTCCGAGCTGGGGACAACCAATGGGAGCTAAAGCTCATACAATCAAGTCATTTATATTATTGTGCCCGAGAGCAAAATTAAGAACAACTGGGAATTAACTCATCACTGAAACGCGTTTAAGAGTACTTTAAGGACACGTCGAAACAGCCGCAGTAAGAGGGAATCCAGTAGACTGATACTGGGTATTAAATTGCTTATGATTCGAATCTCTGATTCATACTATTCTTAATTAATACAAAACAACCTAACCACTTGAGCAGAGTGCAACAGGGCAGTATTTATAATGATGCAAAATTTATGAGAAGAGATAAATATTCAAGAATAGTTCATAAAATGACAAATGAATCCTGCATTTAAAGTGATGAAAAATAGGACTAGATAAGAGGCCAACTGGATGTTTATCAATGAAGGTAAAATTATTTCCTTCTGAACGTAGGCGTAAGCATACCAAGTCTTACTTCAGAAGAACACTCAAATAGGAAAACAACAGTATACTGAACACTTGTAGCCAGAATTACATTAATGAATCCAAGTTAGGATATATTCAGAACATCTTCACGACATCCGTCCTCGAGTTCACATGTCCGTCTTGGAGAACCTACTGTAAGAATCACTCGAATAGTTATAGGTGTTAGCAATGAGGCAAGTCCCACAATTACGGGGTAATGGGTACATTTCTTTGTTACAAGACCAGAATCTAACGACGGAAAAGAAAGAAAGAAAGAAAGAGAGAGGAGAGATTGGGAGGAGAATGGAGAGAGAGAGAGAGATATAGAAAAAACAAGAGGAAGACCGAAAAAACAAGAGAGCGAGAAGAAAGGGGAGAGCGAGAAGAAAGAAGAGAGGAGCTAGAGAAACACACACACAAACACGAAAAAATTAAAACGGAACACACACAGAAGACCTAGATGAGAAGAGTTGGAGAAAATTTACACATTGGACTTCTATCCATCCTCTCTGGTTTGTAATGAAGCCACTGAGACTAGAAACCGTACATCCACGTGGGTGGGTACAGGGAAGACCCTGTATCCACCAACCCACATCCACCCGCCCACAACAAGGAATGACGGCAGATCTGTAGCCATCGTCTTTTTCGCTGTCAACAAAGCGAGCAGGCAGTCCGGCTTCGCTCCTCTAGGGAATTGACGCCTTGGTCAAAAGGAATATGTAATGCAATTCCTATTCCTCTCCTCAGGTGATCCTTCCCGACTCTGGCTCCTATTCAATTTACGGCATTTTATGCAGGTTAGGGAAAGGTTGGTGGAATGGTTGACGGATGGGAATGGAGAGGGATGGGAGGAGTGGGAGAGGGTGTGGAGGCGGAGCGTGTGTGGAGTAGACAGACGGATAAATGCAGTAAATTATGCTGACTATGTACTTTATATCCTTCACATGGACATTACATAACTGGTATTATTTCAAGGCATTATCACTAAGTTAATAAATTTCAAAGTTACCTTGAATACCAACATCGCCAAACGTCTAAATTACATATTATATATATTATATACATATTATATATATATATATATATATATATATATATATATATATATATATATATATATATATATATATATATAGGGAAGGGAGTACCACCTCTGGCTGGAAGAAGGGGGACCCATAGCCTCGGAGGAAACCACACATAACGCATTGGAGGGAATGTAGGTCCCCTCCAATACAGTTTGTGTGCTTTTCTCCTACCACCCCCTTCCCTTTTTTTTTTTTTCTTTTATATATATATATATATATATATATATATATATATATATATATATATATATATATATATATATATATATATATTCAGGTATGCATCATACATTCATATGAAAGTATCCTCCATTATCCAGTATAAAATCACACACACACAAACACACACAAAGCACACACACACACAAAGCACACACACACACAAAGCACACACACACACACAAAATACATAATTAAAACCATCTACTTCAAATCAAAGCATTTTCTGACCATGTCATTGCTGCTACAAGTGTGGGTTCCATCCCACAGGACCCAACCTGCGACTCCTCCTCTCTTACCCACCATAACTCACCTGAGTGCAGGGAGACAGGTGATTACGTCGGCGCCTTTAGGAACGTCGTAGGTGAATATTCTCTGCATGTTCCTGTACAGACTGAAGTTCAGACACGCCTTGTTCTGTTCTGCAGGAATATGCACTCGACTCACTAATATTGCAAGTTATTTCGGCCTCCAGTTTAATTCCTATTCCACTTTCCGTTTTTAATTACATTCCAACATTTAAGAGTTTAATTTATATGATTGCAGTTCCTGGCATTTACATCTATTGAATTCATGATTCGTTCATTAAGTGCGGTTTACTGTATTTTGTCCTTGTAACAGTGTTTTTTTTACACTTTTTTCACATTTTTTACATTTTAGGTTGTTAATCTTAATTCCTGTATCTTCCCATTTCCCACTTCCTCATTGCATACAATCCTTATCTTGATATACATGTTTCATACAAACCTGTTCTATTAATATGACCGACAGGCGAATATTTGTAAAAATAATCCTATTTTATTTATTCTAATTAATCCCAATAAATGAAAGTGAACTGTGTATTCATGATTTAATGAAATCCTTTAAAACATACAGGTTATGCAGACATAAGATATTTAACATTTTAAAAATTTATTTTAAATATTACTGGGTCATTCCTAAATGTCTCGCTTCCGCTATGCAATCTCATGGATTGCAAAACCACGTTATATCGTATTTATCATTAGATCATTTTATAATTTTACCAATCTATTATCTCCCGTTTCACAAACTATTCCCCAGAGTCTGTATTACATGTTCTCGGTCGTCTTAGCCAAGAGGTACGGGCCTTTGGGTACTCATAACTCCGGGTCTGGGTGGGTCTGTGCTTCTTTTTCACAAACATATCAGTGTCTTTCTACTTGGTGACATTCATTCGGGGAATAAGTCGCCTGGCCTTTGTGTCTTTAGATGCCATTGTCAACCCGAAGCAGCTAAGGGAGATTGTGAAGACTGCTTTAAAGTGACATCTTTGTTTCTTGGCTGAGTTCTTTGTGTTCCACCTGTCTGTCCCCCCTCCCAAAAGTCAAGATGTCTCGTGTGACGCAAAATCAAATCCACGCACGTCACAAGTATGGAGGATTGTGTCCACAATTTGTTAATGAGCGCCATGCCGACCTAACTCAAACGCATAACAGGACTCCTTGCTCCCAGCTATGACAACCTTGGCGTTCCTATTAGTTTGTGACACTTGCTGATGAGGGCTACTGTTTACACTCTTGTGTTGTGGTAGGTGCGGGTCATTCCCAGGCGAGTGGGGGGGGGGGACTAGTTCATCCAAGAGATGTGTTCCTCTCCTACAAATTAGTCTGCTGAAAACACTATATGTATAAATTAATTTTCAACAAATGTATTTACTAATTTGAATTTTTAATATTGTATCATTAATATTCGATTAATTGAATTTGATTTATTCGGCATCAATGATCTCGTTGCAACGTGCTCAGCTAAATTATCTATGAATGTTCAATGAAATAACTCATATTCCACATACCCCAATTCCACATTTTCCTCTAACAACCAATCAGAGATTTGTTTAACACCCTCTCCTATTTCACATGTCTATAATAATCGCCCCTTTGGTAACAAACCAAAATTAAAAAATAACTATGTTCCATATTTTTCCAATAGTTAGCATTTATTACATTTTAAAACTGGGACAACAATTGTTATAAATAAATTGTGAAAAATATCTGTCACCAAGAACTTGAAATTGCATTATTGACAACTGAATAGTATTTAAGCCTAGATGTGTGGCACAGTAGCAAACGCGCTCCTATTAATGGGTCCTAAAGCGCAATAGCCAACATTGTCGGTGCACACCCGAAAGGGGTTCCTGGTTCAATTCCCACAGCAAGACAGATACACCTGATGCCTCTGTTCACCTTGCAGGTAACCGGGAGTTAGGCAACCGTCGTAGGGTTGCACCCTGTAAAGGTGAGAAGTTGGTTTGGACCGGACCACCATTCAGTCTAACGGGCTTCATGTTCCCGAAAATGGGGGACACCATTATAGAATTTCAAATACCAACACCAATTTCAGCCAATATTACTCCTATCATTACAATACTGCCAGACATAATCATACCTGGCACAATTACGCCTGTCATTCCCTTTAGGCATTATATATATATAGGTCACCCGTGGATACCTTCCTTTAGGCCTTTAATCTCATCCTATCTACCTCTCATCCTATCTACCTATCTTCTTGCCTTCCAAACTTTCTACCATTGAATTTCTACTACATTGCAAAAATCCTGGTCCCCGCCCCCCTCATACCTCCCTCATCATTTTATCTCTCCCTGTTCTTTATGTTAAGCTCCTCATACTACTTCTCTCCCCCTCATTCCTTTACCTTACCTTCCTCCTTTCTACCTACTTCTCCTTCCTACCTTACCTCTGGTTTATGATTCAGTAATATATATGTTCATAATATAATGCAGTTTGGGTTTGTATTCTGGTTTGTACTATTAATAAATGTTAACTACACTGCCCGCCACCCCTCGACAGAACGAGGCAGGTGCATGGTGTCCAATGTTGTATTTACAACATACACCAAATATCTACAAATACACATGTTGTATTTACATCTACAAAATCCCATTTTCCGCTATAAAACCATTTGGAAATAATTTTAAATAAATGTATGCTAAAACAAATAAAGTTAATAAAATACTTGCGCGTTTACATATGCCTGGAAATATACTAAATAACTTTTTCCTGTAAATATTTAATGTGGTTAAAGCGAAATGAAGCTGATCTTGTACGGAGACCCGCCGCCTCAACCCGAGGTAACTCTACCCTCCTTGACACAACAGCCTCAAGCGAGTGTTTACAATTAGCGCTTAAGGTGTTTACACCAAAGTTAAACCCCCCTCCCCCCTCCTAGTGATGAAGAGGGCGGGGGCACTCGTGCTGCAGTGACAGACATTCAGAGAAGCGCCACAATCATCACTGTGGGAAGCGGTGACCAAACCCAGTGCCTAAGACTGGTTGCTTGAGTTCTTACGTTTCTCGTTAGGCCAAAACAGTTGCATTTTTGGTTTGGTTTGGCAGAGTAGCATGTCGAGAGGAAAGGGAGAAGGTAATTATCAGGGAAAGCGCCAAGCCATTACGACCATATAGCCCTTGGAAGGGGTCAGGATAAGAATTTGGGATGGGACGGGGGAGGGGGGGGGAGAGAAATGGTGCCCAACCACTTTAAGCGTCTGGGATTGAACGCCGACCTGCATGAAGACCGTCGCTCTACCCTCCATCCCAAGTGGTTGGGCGAGGGAGAGACCGATATGGTTCATGTCGCGAAAAAGGGGATAAATAGCGTGTTCGAGTGTGTTCTCTCGTCTTGCAACTCCGTAAAAATTACAACTGTTTTGCACTACCAGAAACGGACGCATTCAAGCAACACCATTAACCTATCCGCGCCGATGCATAGAAGACGTCAGTATTGTGGTGCTTTAAAGCTTACTGATACCGTAACTTTTTCGTACATATTGGTAACGGAAATTACCAATCATTTCCGTTAGAAATGTCATGCATTAGTGGAGATGACAGACCAGTCACACCCGTAATGTTGCAACGTGCATGATCTGGTGCCTGCACTCTTATATATAATATATTATATATTATATATATATATATATATATATATATATATATATATATATATATATATATATATATATATATATATATATATATATATATATTCAATCTAGCCTCCTGTTTAAATAGTACTTTGTGTAATTATGTTGACCATTGGGCATATATTGACGTAATACACAATTAGATACGAGAATTTGATGCTATTCAATTTAGAGAGTTCGTAAAAAGTGTAAGCTGAAAATCGAACTTAAGTTTCCCTAGGATTAGTATAGCACATGTGCACTAGATTAGGCCTAGAATGATTAGGTTGGATTCGGTTACTTTTTATTAGCAACATTAATACATAATCTCTTCCAGTTCGGCCGAATTCACTAGTACCAATTTCTAATTTTAAATTATTCATTATTTCAATATATGTACGATGGTGGTCATCGTTACCATAAGGACTATCTAAACAGGAAGATGGGCTTAAATGTGTCTTTTAGGCTTACCAACCTCATTAAATGGGTTTAGAAATTATCGTTCGTTAAATTGTATAAATTATATAACAACTCACCTTTACCAAGCTGGCTGGTGATGAGGTCATAGATCGAAGCCAGAACCAACAGGCAGCCCAGCACACCAAGAATGGATCTGTGGGGGAGAGTTCATGACGGTCACACAGCCTATCGCAGCACCGGGTAGGCGGTTCCTTTGTTGGCTATCCTAGTAACTTACCCATCCACTTGGACTGATAGGTACCCGTAGGGTCACCTTTAAGCCCAACCCGTCCTCTTAAAAATAACGTCACTTTTGGCTCGTATGCGCACTATGGCCAAATTTGGACGTAATTTGAAATGAAATCGACTCACAAAAGTGACGTATTGTTCCGTTTTCTGTTTGAGTCGTCCGGCCCTCCTCGGACAGCTTAGAAGAGGAACTTTCAATTAACGTTTTTCATAACGTTTTGAAACTTTATGAGAATTTCCTGCCCACCTAACCTACCAGAGGACCCTTAACTTACTGTTGTTAAAAAAAAATCCCAAATTTATTTTCAATTTATTTTAATTTTCAAATTACGTCCATATTCGGCCATACGGGCAAACGGCCAAAAGCGACGTTCTTTTTAAGAGGACAGGTTGTTAAGCCAACTGATCCCCGCACTCCGTGCTTGGATAATACACTCTAGTCTTGTCAAGTAAAATTTTTCAAGTAATACTGCCTTCTAACAGAGCCAAGCCTCTAAAGGTTGGTCATAAACCAACACAATCTTGCAACTGTTCATCTCTGCTTAACTGTTTATGACAGTACGGATACTAGTCTGTCATTAAATACAGTATGGCTTTGCTTAACATCAGTTCGGTGATTGATTCCTCTTGTTAAGGTTTTGGGTATTTTTTTAGGACTCTATAGATATGAGAGACTAAGAAACATCGGCAAAAAAATATTAAAGTTGCAAAATATGTCAGTGGCAAATGAACAAGATTTTAAACTAACAAAATCCTAAAAATCTTGCTTCTTTCTGCAGAGAAAGAAGCAAGATAACTTTTTTTTATAATAAGTCAATTTTCAGAAATCCGATAATGTGTTTCCGACACTTACACCTTCGATATTTTTCCAAACTAAAAATAAAATTAAAATTTAATAACAAGTCGACAAAAACAGACTCTTGGCTGTGGACCTGGGAGGCCAGGGCCAAAAAGGTTCCCAGTTGGGCCACAGAGTCCCTAAAGCCGGCCCTACCTTGAGCGACGGGCTGGCCTAGTGAAGGACCGTTCCTTCACTTTGCCCTCATCCACGTATTACTGGTTATACCTGTTCGTCCTCGTGTTCGTGTTCGTCCTCGTGCTCTCTCTCGCACGCACGCACGCACGCACGCACACACATGCCTCGGGGCATGTGTGTGCGTGCCTGGGGCCACACATGCCTGGGGCCTCGTAGCCTGGTGGATAGCGCGCAGGACTCTTAATTCTGTGGCGCGGGTTCGATTCCCGCACGAGGCAGAAACAAATGGGCAAAGTTTCTTTCACCCTAAGTGCCCCTGTTACCTAGCAGTAAATAGGTACCTGGGAGTTAGTCAGCTGTCACGGGCTGCTTCCTGGGGTGTGTGTGTGTGTGGTGTGGGGAGAGAGAAAAAAAAAAAAAAAAAAAAAAAGTAGTTAGTAAACAGTTGATTGACAGTTGAGAGGCGGGCCGAAAGAGCAAAGCTCAACCCCCGCAAAAACACAACTAGTACACACACACACACACACACACACACACACCAACCCGTTCTCGCAAATTTAATAAGTCAATATTGACTTATTAACTACGTGCATAGGTGATATACTAAACATAATAGATACCCTTAAAAAGATTCATATTAAACACCGACCTTACCTAACCTTGTTAGTATCTTAAGATAAGCATCTTATTGCTTCGTAATTACAATTATTACTTAACCTATACCTATTATAGGTTAGGTAATAATTGTAATTACGAAGCAATAAGATGCTTATCTTAACATACTAAGTAGGTTAGGTAAGGTCGGTGTTTTCTATGAATCTTTTTAAGGGTATCTATTATGTTTAGTATATCACCTATGCACGTAGTTAATAAGTCAATATTGACTTTACGAATTTGCGAGAACGGGTTGCACACACACACACACACACACAGTAACGTCATCCCCGTATTAGTGCTTCTGGTGCTAATATTGTCTATAACACTAATTCCGCTAATGCAGGTGTTGCAACCGGTTACTACAATTTTGCTTCTAGTGCTTTCTTTATTGCCAGTGTTCCTATAAACAAAGGCAGGCTACTGCCACCATTATACGTCGTAGCCCCACTACTGTAGCCTCTAGTGTTACCATTTCTACTGCTTTGTCGTCTCCCACTAGTGTTGCTACTTCTAGTGATGTTTCTATGGGACTAGTGCAGCTAATACTATTTCTCTCATATACTTGTAATATTACTGCTAGATAAGCATTTAATACTAATGGCGTGAAACATTTCGCTGAGATTTAGGGTAAACATTCAGTATCCTGCCACTTGTAATACTTTGTGTTAGTACTAGTTCATACTGCTGTTTATGGAAGGATAATAATAGTAATAAACAAAAAACTTGATTCGGTTATGCCGAATTATCCACGTAGGAAAAGAAATAAACAAAATTCCGAACGTTTTTGTCTATCAAATCATCAGGGAATACACAGAAAATTGATTGAAGAAGATTAAGCTACCCAAGAGGTGGCACGGGCATGAATAGCCCGTTAGGACAGAAAGAGAGGAAGATTAAGCCACCCAAAAGGTGGCACGGGCATGAATAACCCATAAGTGGTGGCCCTTTTGAGTCAATCCCAGTATCAATAGATGATACTGGAGATCTGTGGAGGTGCGACAGCACCCAGCGTGGCGGGAGATGTCTCCCTTGTGAATGTGTTAAGATGAAGATTTAAGCCACCCAAAAGGTGGCACGGGCATGAATAGCCCATAAGTGGTGGCCCTTTCGAGCCATTACCAGTATCAAAAGATGATACTGGAGATCTGTGGAGGCGCAACTGCACCCTGCGTGACGGGAGATGTCTCCCGGACCAAGTGTGGCATAGGGCAGAAGACAGGTTGGTAACATATATACCCCTCTACACCTGAGTAGATCAAGATTATTCGATATTTTATGGATCTTTATCTACTCAGGCGTAGTAGAGGGCAAATAATCCGAAACCCAAGTCTCTATCTGTATGCCATGATAATTTGCTGAAACGTGAAAACGTTCTAAATTTTCGTTTCATTTTTCCAACCGTGGATTCTTACGCATCGTTATATTTAGTACGTGTGCTCTATCTAGCCCTAGTATTAATTGTATATTATTCATGCTACTACTAATTCTGTTTTTCTACAATTAGTATTACTAATGCTAGATCATCTTTCATTGGAAGGAGGCAATATTTCTTCAGGAAGAGTGGGAGCAGTATTAGTCCACAGTCCAAGACGGTCATGGATCTTTCTCAACCCGTCCTCTTAAAAATAACGTCACTTTTGGCTCGTATGCGCGCTATGGCCAAAAGTGGACGTAATTTGAAATGAAATCGACTCACAAAAGTGACGTACTGTCCCGTTTTCTGTTTGAGTCGTCCGGCTTACTCGGTAAAATTTGGAGAGGAAACTTTTAATTAACGTTTTTCATAACGTTTTGAAACTTTATGAGAATTTCCTGCCCACCTAACCTACCAGAGGACCCTTAACTTACTGTTGTTGAAAAAAAAAATCCCAAATTTATTTTCATTTTTTTTTCATTTTCATATTACGTCCATTTTCGGCCATACGGGCAAACGGCCAAAAGCGACGTTATTTTTAAGAGGACAGGTTGCGCCATTAATTGTTGTTCTTAATAAGTTTGAGGATGCTGTTACACCAAGCAATCGGTTAAATGTTCCATACTTACATCCTTGTAAGTATAGGACATTTGATCGATGTTCCATACATTCATATATCATCGAAGTAAACATACTTCGACGTTAGGCCACTTGAAACAGATCTATTATAACACCCCAACATGGCTTGCTTGGTTTTACTGAACTGTGTCAATGATGTAGGAATTTTATGTAAGCAAGTCTATAGATAACCGGACACGAGAAATAGCATGTGTCCTTAAAAGGTCATCCTAAGATTACTATATAGATGCTACCTTGACATTACATCTATCCAAATCACGATTAACGAGAGGAAAAACCAGGTCTGATCAGAAGTCTTAGATTTGAATCGGTTCAGTCAGTCTTTTGTAAGACCTTGGACGTATCACAGAATATGATTAGAATCTATGACAATTATATGCCTCTAACCCAGAATATGGTTTCAACCAAGGTTACTGCAGTCGAGTTTCTGTTCAACAACTTCACTGTACCATCACCAGATGAATACATTTTCAACAGTTTTGCTATACTTGACTCTTAAGCTAATTGATCTAACACATTTCTGGCAATGCGACAAGCACGAACCACATCTGAAGATGTTCTTACAATTATTTAGTATATTTTGAATCTTTAAGCTTTGATTCTTATGGTATTTTATATTTTTTATCGAGCAGAATCTTCAAACCCTTACTCCCACGAAGTGTTTTCAGTTCATGACTCCAAAGTGATATTTATCCTTCACTCTGCTCTTGAAATCATTAATGATATTACCTACCTGGGTTAAGCAATGATCGCGTTAAAACGGCGATGGTCACTGGTAACCATAGTGCAGCAACCGAAATTTGTGATATGAAATGGCCAAAGTGTTCAACGATGTTACGAATATTGAAGGAGTTTAATTTGATGACGTTAATTATGAACATCATGTTTAATTTCTCTAGCAAATCAAGAAACATTATTATTATAGCACATCACGAGTTTCCTTAACTATTGCCAAGATCCTTGCGAATCATGTTTCCTTACTCCTTGAGTACATATAATTTTCAGCAGCATTCCTCCCCTCCATTCGCCAGAATTTGCTTAACTGACATTTCCGCCTTTCTTTTCATTAAGGAAGAAAGGGTAGAGAAAATGCTGTTCATTCTCCAGGTGTAAACATACTTGATTCAGTAAAAGATTTATCAGAGCTCTCATCAACAAAAAGCCAAATGCTTGTTATCCTACCACCAAACCCCCTTTTTTGTGAATTAAATAAATTACTTTTACATGACTCGCAAACCGAAGAAGTTCAGACATGTATCAAACAGTGCTTCGCTTGCGTCCTCTGTACGAATCGCAACCCTGTAAATACTTCACCCACGTACTTAAAAAAAGTAAGTAATTTGCAGAGTAATACCCCTAACTTTATCTAGATTTTACTATATAGATGCACACAAACAGGCTTTCTGTCCTATACAAGACTAATTAAACAACAGATAATGAAAGTGGAAGAAAGGGACACGAAACAAAAAGTCACACGAAATGACACAGAGGTCAAGACAGGAGGACCGACGGCCCCGGACACCTGGATAACACAGGAAACACAGATCCACACAGAGCCAGTCCTGATCCGGCCAGGCGAGAGCACTCACAGCATGGCCTTGTCCTCGGGGATGAGCTCCTCTTCAGGGTCGTCGTCAGCGTGGCAAGTCACTCGCACCAACTTCATCCCGTACTCCTCCAGGGTCACGTTCACCGAGTCCTGTCGTACACCAACCTGGTTACTGTCTGTCGTTCACGGGCTCCAGCCGTTCAACACAACAGCGTTTGCATGTGTACTCAAAAATCTTAACGTCACAATAATGGGTTGAACACGTACACCCCAGCATGGGATATTTAATATATTATTAACATTTATTTGCATCAGCCAGACGCTCAGATTCTTCGTACTGTAATAGTAGTGAAGAGCTCCAGAACGACCGAAAAATGACCAGGGAATGACGGAGCTGTTTTCCGCCAGTTGTTCACATCCGTTCATCTTGTTGCCGAGTGGGCGGTAATATGCTACTAAACAGAGCCATTTCTCGAGTAACAAGAGTTCGTGTTAAGTTATTCTGATCTACAGCAGGAAATGGTTGAAACGAGACTGGAAAATACTCGAGAGGTCAGTACAAAGAACTCGGTTTGGGAAGTGGTTGACGTGTTGTAAATGATGCGGGGAGAGAAACCCGGGCGGGGAGAGAAACCCGGGCGGGGACAGAAACCCGGGCGGGGACAGAAACCCGGGCGGGGACAGAAACCCGGGCGGGGACAGAAACCCGGGCAGGGACAGAAACCCGGGCAGGGACAGAAACCCGGGCAGGGACAGAAACCCGGGCAGGGACAGAAACCCGGGCAGGGACAGAAACCCGGGCAGGGACAGAAACCCGGGCAGGGACAGAAACCCGGGCAGGGACAGAAACCCGGGCAGGGACAGAAACCCGGGCAGGGACAGAAACCCGGGCAGGGACAGAAACCCGGGCAGGGACAGAAACCCGGGCAGGGACAGAACCAGGTGCTTTGGTTCATGCTGCGCTGTTGACACTGTTCCGAATTTCCGGTTCAATGCCACACAGTTTTAAGATTAGATCAGGGTAAACATATTTCAGCCCTTTGGATGCCAGTTCTGAGTATTCATTATTGACATGGAAAGAAAAGTCTGATATGTTGGTCTGAATGAAACTTTACCTCAGTGATCCGTCACATGAAAGCTTAAAGAAACTATTTTCATTTGGAATTAAAACTAAATATATTTTTCATCTACATGAAGTGCTTCCCTAATCCACTGGTTATTGACGCCAGAAAGAGGAAAATAATCCCTAAGGCTGTTCTTCAAACTTTCCAAATGCTGAATGAAATACTATCTTATTTCCTGATAGGTGTCGTCATTGGACGTTGCAAGCCAGACCTATCGAAAGAGTTTCAAACATACAAATAAAGTTGTATGTTTGAAACCAGTTTCAAACTTCCGAGGTCAGACGTTCGGACTTCAAGTCTAATTTCATGATCATAGATTTCAATTTATTTTCAACTTGAAAAATGGTTACAGCTCTCCTGTTAGGGGAGCCGGTCGGCCGAGCGTACAGAACGCTGGACTTGTGATCCTGTGGTCCTGGGTTGGATCCCAGGCGCCGGCGAGAAACAATGGGCAGAGTTTCTTTCACCCTATGCCCCCGTTACCTAGCAGTAAAATAGGTACCTGGGTGTTAGTCAGCTGTCACGGGCTGCTTCCTGGGGGTGAAGGCCTGGTCGAAAACTGGGCCGCGGGGACACTAAAAAGCCCCGAAATCATCAAGATAACTTCAAGATAACCTCCTTTCTAGGCTCAGGTTTAGGCAATTCATATTCTTACAAATGTCGTACCACAGGAACCACTGCGAGCCACGAAAAGTTTATGAACCACTCGGAATTTGGAAATTTACCTTCAGCAGCTTTATCTGATTAATTATACATTTTCAGTTGGAACGTCTTTTTCCAATATTTAACTTTTTCAGAAGCACCTTTTCGCACCCTCTAGGGTCCGCGGACCACAGGCTGTGACCACATGTTCTAGATAACATTGTGGGATGTCCACATGACTAGTAAAATAAAGCCTAATGACACTAGAGGCTTCATAAAGACACATTAAGATATCATAATTGAGCCTAACCACATCATATATAACAAGAAACATAACACCGCCACGAAGAAATCACGAGAAAATATATATATCGTCAAAACAATTAAAAAATTTCAGCCACTGAACCAAAAATGCCAAAGAACCAAAAGACTGGAAAGATTTTATGGAACCTTCACCAGGTCGGAGCCTCTGGAAATGCAAAATAGTTGGCCATAACGGGGGTGTGGTTGGGGGGGGGGGCGGCAGGCCTCGATAATACCTCCGCCAGCGTCAGCTGGAGTCAGCCAGTCAGCACTTGCTGACTGGCAAGTGCCATTACGGGACGAGTAGGACAAATGTCACGCGGTGGAGGAGTGGTGAATGGTGATCGGGAGGTGTTGGAGGGAAGAGGTGATTGTGAGGGGAGGTGGAGGACGGAAGGTGATTGTGAGAGGAGTAAGGGGTGATGAGCGAAGGTGATAATGATAGGGCGGAAAAGGAAGCGGGGAGTGGGGGGTGGGTAACTGGTTGTGAGGATAGAGATGAGGTGAGGATAGTGTAAGATAGGCAAAGGAAGATGATAGTGTAGGTTGGGAAGGAGAGTTCATGAGATCAGGAAGAATAAGAGCCCAATCCCATGATTTGACACACGTCTCTTGGAAACAGGAAACTTACCAGAAAGTTGGAAGACAGCTAACGTAGTCCCAATATACAAGAAGGGTGACAGGCAAGAAACACTGAACTACATGCCAGAAGCATCTGATGGGAAATAACTTAGTAACGCCCCACCAACATGGGTTCAGAGATTGTAAATCGTGCCTCACAGGTTTAATAGAATTCTATGACCAGGCAACAAAAATTAGGCGGGAAAGAGAAGGGTGGGCCGACTGCATTTTCCTGGACTGTCAAAAAGCCTTTGACACAGTACCCCATAAAAGGCTGTTAAAAAAGTTGGAGCATCAGGCAGGAGTAAAAGGAAAGGTGCTCCAGTGGATAAGGGAGTACTTAAGCAACAGGAAACAGTGAGTAACGGTGAGGGGGGAGACATCAGAGTGGCGAGATGTCACCAGCGGAGTCCCAAAGGGCTCAGTACTTGGACCCATCCTGTTTCTAATATATGTAAACGATCTTCCGGAGGGTATAGACTCGTTCCTCTCAATGTTTGCTGATGATGCAAAAATTATGAGAAAAATCAAGACGGATGAAGATAAACAGAGACTACAGGATGACCTGGACAAACTGGAGGAATGGTCTAGAAAATGGCTGCTAAAGTTCAACTCAGGAAAGTGTATGGTAATGAAATTAGGCGAAGAGAGCAGGAGGCTGAACACAAGGTATCATCTGGGAGGTGAAATTCTGCAAGAGTCAAAGAGACAAAGATCTGGGGGTTGATATCACACCGAACCTATTCCCAGAGGCCCACATCAAAAGATCATCAGCGGCATATACTAGACTGGCCAACATAAGAACTGCCTTTAGAAACTTGTGTAAGGAATCGTTCAGAACCCTGTATACTACTTATGTAAGACCAATCATGGAGTATGCAGCTCCAGCCTGGAGTACATACCTAGTTAAACACAAGACAAAGTTAAAGAAGATTCAGCGGTATGCCACCAGGCTCGTCCCGGAACTGAGAGGAATGAGCTACGAGGAAAGGCTAAAGGAGCTGAACCTCTCATCCATGGAAAACAGAAAAGTAAGGGGATACATGATAACCACCTACAAAATTCTCAGGGGAATTGACAGGGTGGACAAAGACAAACTCTTCAGCACGGGTGGAACACGAACAAGGGGACACAGGTGGAAACTTAGTACCCAGAAGAGCCACAGACATTAGAATTTTTTTTTCAGTGTCAGAGTAGGTAATAAACGGAATGCACTAGGAAGTAATGTGGTGGAGGCTGACTCCATACACAGTTTCAAATGTAGATATGACAGAGCCCAGTGGGCTTAGGAACCTGTACACCAGTTGATTGACAGTTGAGAGGCGGGACCAAAGAGACGAAGCTCAACCCCCATAAGCACAATCAGGCGAGTGCTATTAGGTGAGTACACACATATTGCGCGCGCGCAAGTTTCCGCTAAACTATAAGCATACAAAAGAAGACGCATCCAACCACACACATGTGCGGTTGATGCAGCACATTAGGCGGACAAAGCGTAAAAAAACGAATCATTGAATTCCAACAGAGCCCCACAGTTTGTATGTTTTTGTCGATTGCGTCCAAACGGAGGTACATTGTAGGCGGAGAGATCTAGTAATGGGCAGGAGGGGGGGGGGTAGGTCTAGTGCTGAGGGGGGTAGGTCTAGTACTGGGCAGGAGGAGGGGGGGTAGGTCTGGTGCTAGGCAGGAGGGGGGGGGGGGGTAGGTCTAGTGTTGGGCAGGAGAGTGGGGGGTAGGTCTAGTGCTGGGCAGGAGGGGGGTAGGTCTAGTGCTGGGCAGGAGAGTGGGGGGTAGGTCTAGTGCTGGGCAGGAGAGTGGGGGGTAGGTCTAGTGCTGGGCAGGAGGGGGGGGTAGGTCTAGTGCTGGTCAGGAGGGGGGGGTAGGTCTAGTACTGGGCAGGAGGGGGGGGGGTAGGTCTAGTACTGGGCAGGAGGGGGGGGGTAGGTCTAGTGCTGGGCAGGAGGGGGGGGGTAGGTCTAGTGCTGGGCAGGAGGGGGGGGGGTAGGTCTAGTGCTGGGCAGGAGGGGGGGTAGGTCTAGTGCTGGGCAGGAGGGGGGGGGGTAGGTCTAGTGCTGGGCAGGAGGGGGGGGTAGGTCTAGTGCTGGGCAGGAGGGGGGGGTAGGTCTAGTGCAGGGCAGGAGAGGGGGTAGGTCTAGTGCTGGGCAGGAGGGGGGGGGGTAGGTCTAGTGCTGGGCAGGAGGGGGGGGTAGGTCTAGTGCTGGGCAGGAGGGGGGGGTAGGTCTAGTGCTGGGCAGGAGGGGGGTAGGTCTAGTGCTGGGCAGGAGAGGGGGGGTTGGTCTAGTGCTGGGCAGGAGGGGGGGGGTAGGTCTAGTGCTGGGCAGGAGGGGGGGGGTAGGTCTAGTGCTGGGCAGGAGGGGGGGTAGGTCTAGTGCTGGGCAGGAGGGGGGTAGGTCTAGTGCTGGGCAGGAGGGGGGGGTAGGTCTAGTGCTGGGCAGGAGGGGGGGGGTAGGTCTAGTGCAGGGCAGGAGGGGGGGGGGGTAGGTCTAGTGCAGGGCAGGAGGGAGGGGGTAGGTCTAGTGCTGGGCAGGAGGGAGGGGGTAGGTCTAGTGCCTAATTATAGTGATCGTGTGGAGAGGAAGAGGGGGGTAGTTGTGATTACTTTGTCATTTTCCCGACAATTGAAGAGCACAGTACAAGCGCAGAAGAGCACAGTACAAGCGCAGAAGAGCACAACAGAGGCGCAGACGAGCAGATGGTGTGGTCATGAACGCACCTGCATGTCCTCCGTGGTGCAGGTGGAGGGGATGCAGGTGCCGTAGGAGAAGGGCAGAGGGGTGGCCAACACGGCGAACGCCACCCCGCTCTTTTCCTTCTTCAGCTTTGGTCTGCAAGAGGCGGCGAGGGTGATGAGCAGGGAGGAACGGCAGGAGGAACGGCAGGAGGAACGACAATTACAAGGGAGAGTACAGGAGACGGGGAACGTGATATACACGGGGGAGAGTACAGGAGACGGGGAACGTGATATACACGGGGGATAGTACAGGAGACGGGGAACGTGATATACACGGGGGAGAGTACAGGAGACGGGGAACGTGATATACACGGGGGAGAGTACAGGAGACGGGGAACGTGATATACACGGGGTAGAGTACAGGAGACAGGGAACGTGATATACACGAGGGAGAGTACAGGAGACGGGGAACGTGATATACACGGGGGAGAGTACAGGAGACAGGGAACGTGATATACACGGGGGAGAGTACATATGAATCCGTCATTATTTTGTATTAGATAATATATTCAATGAATAAATCAAGTTAATTTTAGTTACGTTCCAATACATTTGTATGAATGAATGTATAATGTAACAAAATCAGAGAGAATGGAGAATGAATTATTTGGTGGAAATAAAAGGTCAAATGCTAAAAATGAGTAAACTCAAAATTTAACAAATAGATAAAATACATGCAAATAAATAACTGAACATATCACACACACACACACGCCAACACAAACAGTTTGCAAATACACAAAACAAACGAAGCAATCAAAAAGCCCAACTTGAACACACATCAGAACAAAGTTCACCTTGAATATGACCAGAAACGATTGTGAATAATTAAAGTTTCGTTTAAGAATCAAAACACTTTCGGAACTAAACGGGTGAAAACAGTGAAATAAAAATTAAGTACAATATTGGATTACAAACGCTAACACACTTAGGGTTCCAAACATTGCAACATACGGGAGAGGCCAATCATCATCAATGCACACTGGAGCAAGTTACCCATATAGGGAGCACCAAACACACACGGGCACAAAATACAACACACCGAGTGTTTCGAACAAATCCACACACACACGGGGAACACCAAACACCACACATACACGGAATGGGGGGGGGAGCACCCAATATATCACACATGGGTGTGTTGGGCAACAAAGCAACACACATGGGGGCCACAAAACACACACAAACACCGCAACACACACAAGGGGGGCCACACCAACCACACACAAATGGGGGAGGGGAACACCAACCACAAAACACACACAAACACCGCAACACACACATGTGGTGTTTGGTGTGTGGCTCCCAACACACACACGTGAGGCACCCAAATACATCACCCAAAGCACGTAATTACCCCGCCCCAAACGCCATTAGTAACCTAGCTCAGCACCCACAAGTAGTATACGGTGCAATAACGTCCGGTATAGTTCCTCAGCGTATGCGTAGGATGGATGAAGCCTTCTGTAAAGTTGTAGTGAGCCTCGACCTGCACGCACTCCTCAAACATGCCCGTAGCTCGCACGTTCCCGAAGAGGAAGCCGTCCGTCAACTTGCCCCACGAGTCGATCACTGTGAAGAGACTCCAAGAGGTAAACGGGCGAAGAAAGATGCTTCAAAATACACTTTTTCAAAGTTGGACAAGACAAAAGTGTTTTCTTTTTAATCAGTGATAATCTGGTCGTAAACTCCCAGCTGGTACGTTCGTAAATTCCCAGCTGGTTCGGTCGAAACCTTTCGTCCTATTTAGACCAACAATATGCAGTTGCAGGCGATAAGTCACAATAACGTGGCTAAAGTAAGTTGACCAGACCACACACTAGAAGGTGAAGGGACGACGACGTTTCGGTCCGTCCTGGACCATTCTCAAGTCGATTGTGATCGATCTCAAGTCACAATCGACTTGAGAATGGTCCAGGACGGACCGAAACGTCGTCGTCCCTTCACCTTCTAGTGTGTGGTCTGGTCAAATATGCAGTTACAGAAAGTTATTCATGTTATTCAGAATTAAAAACAATAGCTTTTCCAAGCATAAATTTAACTGATAATTTTGTTGCGTGTTTAAAAGAAAAAATGATCAGAAGAAATACAAGATTAAAAAACCGAGGATGAAGCAAAGGGTCAAAAAAGATTTACAGACAGACAGATCGGGACGCTTCTCATCAGGGATATTTTATTCAGTAACCCTTGATGAGGAAAACTGCAAAAAATCCTGTCTTCAGAGATGCAGATCAGGGACTTGTAGCGGGGAAAATCGCTTTTTATTATAGGAATGGAGAGGGGAAATGCGCCGAGAAATTCCAAAATGAGAAATTATCATTTCGTGATAAATCTGGCACAAGGTGGAACGTTATCAATTCTAACATTACATTTCTCTAAAAAAAAAATCATAATTATACTCTGATTTTTATAAGTTCATGAGAGGTGTTGTCCGTTAAGGTACCGAGACCGTAAAAAAAAAATATTTCCACCCTGAATGGATACGAAATTTCTCTTGTAAAAAGAGTTACATCAGAGTTAATACATCTGGGACATAACTCAGAAAATGTTTAGAGATGTATGTATGAATCCTACACCTGTGAGAGACTGTTTTCCCAGCTAACTGATGAAGTTCAACTGCAGTACAGCAGCGAGGACGGAATATTTTTGACGTGCCTCTGACATACACCAATTACTTGCAGATTTGCAACAGCTACGTGCACAATACCTTGCATATTGGGTATCTCTGGACTGCCTTGGATGCACCTAGAAAGGCTATTACACGAATCAATATCCCCATCGACTGATTAACTTGGACGGATAAAAACAAATTACGCACTAGAGCAGAGGCAGTGCCCGCTTTGTGTCGGTGTTTCTCCAGTCGTTGCTCGGATAAGGAGAGAAACCTCTGGTCTGTTTCCCATGGTGGTGGCCGCGAGACAGGATGTGTCAGCGACGACACACCTCGTCCTGCTTGGGCCAACACTACCGGAACAGGCCTAGGTGCCTGTCCCTTATTTCCAAATTCACAGACAAGGATGTTTACCCTCAATTGTGCCCAGGTGAGCCTCCTCTGCACCCTACGTTGCAGGACCCAAGATGCAAGACATGGTAGATTTTTATCTGATCGGCCAACAGACACCCCAGTGCACCAAATCCCTAACACGTCGCGTTAACACTACATGATAGAGTAGCAGAGTAGTGCGTTAACACCACATGACAACTCTACAAGTTAACTCCTTTACAATTAACATACACCCGTCATCACGTCCGAAGATACATATTAATTAGGTCGCTAACGTAAACAGAGACATCGCGAGACTGTCCTCCAATGTGCCAAAGTGATCAGGTGGCATCTTAGATATCAGTGACTTTAAAGCACCTAGAAGATTTATAGTGAACAATTGCATGATCGGGGAAAGTGTACATGTTTCAGTGTACAGGTCTCACTACGATACCTGCTTGTGGGAGAACGAGTTATTTGCTGTATACGGCATTCATTGTGTCCCATATGCGTCACCAGTCGCACCCATGGCATCACCTGTCGCACCCATGGCATCACCAGTCGCACCCATGGCATCACCTGTCGCACCCATGGCATCACCAGTCGCACCCATGGCATCACCAGTCGCACCCATGGCATCACCAGTCGCACCCATGGCATCACCTGTCGCACCCATGGCATCACCAGTCGCACCCATGGCATCACCAGTCGCACCCATGGCATCACCAGTCGCACCCATGGCATCACCTGTCACTATGTGAGGCCATGAGTGTGTCTAGCATCCTTACGTGTATTTATTGCACATTGGTATGACCACCTGACCACCACTAAACATTGCATTTATTGCAGTTAACTGTATTGCCTTAATGTATTCAGTTCTGTCTGATCTGATAGGCAAGAAGTTATTCTTGCCAATCAATTGTAGGAGAAGTAGGCCGAGATAAATACCAGATCATGAACCCAACATCTTGCCCGAGTGGTATTATCCCATTTCTTTGTCTTTCCATTGGAGACTTTCGGCGCCGTGGAGATGGTGGACCTGCTGCATGGGTAACAGCTTCTCCTCCATATCAACCTACCCTGGCTTTGCGCCCTAGAGAGGCCACTCCAGACCGATAACCAGAGACTCCAGAGACTGAAGGATGCTTACTACTACTATTATTGCCTTACACCACTCTACGAATATGTAATTATAACCACCACACATTTAGCTATCCACCTGCTATATTCGGTTGGCTGTCCCACTGACTGATTATTTGTGTTATTTTGTGCATGATTATTACCCGTCCTATTGACAGTAATTTTATAGTTAATGAACAAGGCTTTAATGATTACCTGTGCTTTAATTTTTGCCTACTAGCAGTGATAAGGAAGCCAGTAGGCCTCCTACTGGGCATGTTCAAGGAGAGGGGAGGTATAGGATGGAGGGATTGGAGGCGGCTTCCAGGCTACACTAGCTGAAACTTTCACTCAAAGTGCTGTCAAATAATATTGGATACGACAACACCCTGGGAACAAGCGACAAGTCGTAAAATAAAAATAGGGAAGAAAAAGGCTAACAAATCAATACATATGTTGATATTAAAAAATATATATAACTGCAAAACAATTGAACTAAGCAGCCAAAGTTTCAGAAAGCCATGATTTATCCTAAGAATGAACCTTTATCGACAGGAATAAAAAGAATGAAGGGTGCAGGAACTTGACCAGCAGGAACGGCTTTAGCATGGCACAGCAGAGAGAGAGGGAATTACCAGGGTAAAGCGTCAAGCCATTACGACTATATAAACACTGGGAAGGGGTCAGGATAAGGGCTTGGGATGGAACTGGAGAAAAGAAATGGCCTCCAACCACGTGGACGGTCGGAGATTGAACGCCGACCTGCATGAAGGGAGACTGTCGCTCTACAGTCCAGCCCAAGTGGTTGGGCTGCCAAGGCAGAGAACTATCATAAATTCTTGCATAACTAAGAAGAAAAATAAGACAACGATAGACGAGCAGTTGATCACAGAAGGAGGGAAGTCGATATACTACGAACAAAACAACATTTGAAATTCTGAGAGTTTTTTCAATGCATTCAGATTTAAACTAAAACTTTAGACTCGGTAGACCTGCAACAATAAACGACTCATTGCAATACATACGACCCCAAACTGAGTAAAAATGAATGATCTTGATGAAAAACGTAAGTCTTGACTAATGCTCACAGGTTTACATTGAATGCAGCAGCAGCATACTAACTGAACTTCAAATCCTCACTCGTAAGATCTTAGTAACCACAAGGTTCAAAACATATTAAGTTATAACTTTCGTCAAGAAAAATAGTCGACAATACGCATTGACTGTCATGCAGGTATAATTAACCGGTTTCCTCTAAGTTATTGGCGATACACAACAGATAAAAGTTCTTGAATCATTTAGACAAGTTGTATCAAGTCTCCAGTCACGAGCATGGCCACAGAGCCGGCAGGAAATGCCTAACAAATCTTTTCGAGTTCTGTGATAAGATGGCGATGATGAAACGCGAGAAAACGGGGAGTCTAACTGCATCTTCCTTGATTGCCAGAGACCATTCTACTATGTTTCACGTATGGAGCTCATAGTAGACTGAGAAAGCTGAGGCAAATAACACAAGTTGGATTGGAGGAGTATATTACTGATAGGAAACAGAGAAAGACAAGATATTTAGGAAAAGTTACAATTAAGTCCTGCGGTTAGTGTGGTACTTGTGGATCGGTGCTTAAATGTAAACAGTTCCTTAAATGTGTGAGTGACTTGACAGAAAAATGGCATTTAGTTTCTTGTTTACCGTTAACGTATAGCTAACAGGGATGTTTGTCTCTTATTCATAGTTAACGAAGCTGCCCGTTTGCATGCCGCAGAGTTTAATTCGCAGTCTGTGTAAACAGAACAGAACGTCCGCTACACAGGGCAGCTGCTAGCTATGTATCTGCATTAACATTAGTAAAGTCAATAACCTATCAGGTGCTTTATGTCAACAAAGTTTCTGCGACTAGCCACAGCACTACGAACCACCACACGAAAAGCGGTTATCTGTGGTAGACAACAGGATGACCTTGATGCACTTTTAGAGAATAGGAGGATAATTAAATTAACGGGAAAATCCCAGATAACAGAAGATAGCCGGAGATAACTTCTCTAATCAGATAAGGAGACAGATCTGGGACTGATCATGACACCAAACTGGATGCCCAAAGAACAAACTCAGCAAAATAACGTATGGAGCAACTGAGACATTGAAAAAATATCTCGTTAGTCTTCGTTAATCTGGACAAAGGCCATCATATGATTGTATACACATCTTTTAATATCCAACTTCGAGTAATCATCTGGCATGAAATCCCCACTTGCAATACAAAGAAACTAGAAACAGTCCAGAGATTTCGAATTGACAAATTGTTCTGGAATTGACAAGGTTGAACAATAGTCCAAGGTTTCAAAAACACTCGCTGCACTGGAAGAATGGATGGGCAAGGAGAACTTTATAACAGTCAACGAAAAGCTATATTTAAAAAGGGTAGAACAAAAGGCCGTGGCTGGTAACCAAGAGAAAATTGTCGAGATAATT